GTGTAAGAGGATGATATAAGATTCATAATTAAATTTATCTCAACCATTCAAATTATTTCCAAACTATTCAAGACACTAAGTTTTGAAGAAACTATGTATAGTATATGTATAGCAATATAGTGGATTTGGCTTTCCCTTCCTATTGGGAATACACTCGGGAAGCATTTGTATGCTATTGTAGACTTGTAGTCATCCCATCACCTTTATGCTCATCCCAAATGATGATGAGGCTGATTGAATCTTTTAACGGTATTAATTCAAAACTTCGAACTAGTTATAAAGTTAAACGAGATCATCATCAACAAAAAGGCAAAAAAAAAAAAACTGTGGAAAAGAGACGCAAAAAAGTTCATCCAGTACTAACTAATCAGTAGTAAGTAATAACATTCGAGATCACTTCTTCATTTTGATTCGAGAGTTTGTATTAATAGGTTGTTTATATTATTGGTGGTACATTAACTTACTATTAATTTATAACGCATCAACTAAACGAAAATAGTCATGTATGTATGTTGCTAATCTACAAGTCATCATCCAGTTATACGCCAACTGGGAATGGCATTAGTGATTAAAATAGTGATTAGGGACACAATGTTCCTGACCTAAACTTGCACACAACTTTTCACTTTCTGGGTAAGGTATGGAAGAAAACACAGCAGAAGTCACCTTCAATTATATGCCATGCGCCCTACCAGGAATTGTATTTTAAGGACTTTGGCACCACATGTCTTCCTCCAATGAACCAAAAACTTCGTTAAGAAAATAAAAACAGCAATGAACCAGAAACCCTTTCGGTCAAAGGCACAAAAAGAAAAGGTTGTCCCCAAAGCACTCATATTTGGTGTAGTAAGTATCATCTACTTTGAAAAATTATCCCCATATATATATATATAGAATAAGTAATTACCCTACATTAATTAGTTGACAACTAATGTTCTAAAATTAAGTATTGATAATATATATGGCAAAGGCTAGCATACTTTGTACGTTCGCATTCGCACTTGTTATATGTACTTTGATATATTTTGATGAATAAGAATCGTCATTTTTTATATAGATTCAATGAGTTTTATGGTTCAAGTTAAAAAAATTAAGAAGTGTGGTTCAGACTAGCGTACGCCTCCCGTACATTATACATCTTCCGCTACAACAAAAATATTAACAATTGTGGATATTGGTCCGGTTTTGAATCGAACCGAATATTGGTCCTTTCCATATTTTTCTCAATCTTTCTGGAAAAAAAAAAACGAAATCAGTACCAATCCATTAGACAAATACTACCACTTTGAAAAACATAAATACCATTGCAGAAATAAATCTATACCATTACACGAAAACTACCATTGCATAAATAAATTTATACCATTACACGAAAACTACCAATATAAACAATCTATACCATAAACAATCAATACCATTGTAGAAATAAATCTATACCATTACACGAAAACTACCAATATAAACAATCTATACCATAAACAATCAATACCATTGCAAAAATAAATCTATACCATTACACGAAAACTACCAATATAAACAATGTATACCACTGCACATTGAATCCATAAACGAAAACTACCAATATGTCTATTTGGTATGTATGTTGTGATGGTAGAGAGAGAGAGAGAGAGAGAGAGAGAGAGAGAGAGAGAGAGAGGGTACCGAGGGTGGCCGAGGGTGGTCGGGGGTGCTGCCGGCGGTGCGACGGGAGTGGTACGTGGAGGCGACTGCGACGGGTTTGGCTGGAGGGAGGATAGAACTAGGGTTTAGGTAGATTATATAGAATAATCAGGTGTGGTAACTTTTTAATTTCCAAAATTACCCTAAAAGAATCTTGACCGTAAGATTAAAAAAGAAGAAAAAATAATTAATCAAATGGTATAGAAAGAGGTTGCCACAGTGATTGCTAAAAAACAAGTAATCACCCTAACCCATTCTTACAACCGAGACCCCCTATTGCATATGCATATATATGTTATTACTATAAATCTTTTTTTTTTCTTAGCATATATATGGTATATAAAAACCATCCATTAGTAAGAAAAACTCCATTGATCATAATCATAATTCTACCTTACTACTCGAATCGTATGTGGGTATAAATTAAATATAAATAAAATCCAAATGGGTATATAGGATTTGAATTACTTACCACCTACACTATGATCAAGACATATATATATATATATATGTATAGTCATAAAATAAACGAAGCGTGCTAACAAGAGGACTTCCAATGAATCGTCCCTCCTCCCACCCCCCAATAAAGTGGATTGATTATATTTTCTTTTAAGACAAGGCAGAGTCAACCAATATAATAATCAAAACGTAACAAAGCCTGCAAATGAGAAACGAGCTGTTCCTTTTTGTCGCAGAATGACGAAGAGAGCTTTGGTTGGAGCAATCAGCAGTACAAGAAGATGCCGTGAGGATATGCCAACAGAAAGCCAGAGCTGCACTGCATTCTCATTTCTCCATAATGGACTGGTAATATATTATTAGTTAATCTGAGTCATCTGACCGTTCTCGTGGAAAGGCAAGAAGAAGAAGAAGAAGAAACTGCAGGCACGAGCAGGAGCAGCTCTTCTTTCTTTAATGGGCAATGCGTTTTGGACCATTCTTTTTGGACGATTCTTGTTGGATGCAGTCTAAAGCGGCTGGCTCTTTCAACTTGTTCTTGATGACCTAAATAGTGAGATCGATGCAGTAGTTTCATTTCGAAATCGTATACATGAGCTTAATATGGGGTTTCCGGTTGTCCGGATCTGTCTTGGCCAGCCGCTGGAATGGATTCAACGAATTGATGGGAATCTGTAAGCGTACGGTGGCTGTGTAAATAAATATATGGGTAAAGTTACTGGTTTGGTGCTGCCGTAACGTTTACAAAACCATATGTAGGCTGAAATTTTAGGAAAAGTGCATGAGTTGAATGTTTGACTAATAACCAAAGGCAATATAGGCTAACAATAAAGTTGCCGCGATAGTGAAGGTTTGCAAGTTGCAAATTCCAGGTTTATTAGACCCCGCAAAGTGGCACGTGGGGCTAAGGTTCCTGGGTAATAAAATAAAATGTTTGGCTAAGAAATTATTAAAAATATTTATACGTGGAAAATAATGTAAACTTGAAAAAAAAATTAGAATGTACAATAAGAAAATAAATAATAAAAAAACAAAAATATTTATTTTCTTTACTTAGAAGAGTTAATACATTTTATTGGCCCGAACTATACACAAACATACTACTTTAGCTCGTGGTTTTAGAAGCTATCTTGGCCTCAATTATACTCCATACAGAGTAATTTGTCCCCGACCTGTGAATTCCCGTCAAATTAAACGGTCAGCAGTGTTGATCGTCAGTGAATCAGCATGCTTCGCTTATGTGGATGCCAGATAGACAATAAAATTAATAAAAATTTCAATAATTTAAGTAAATTATTGACTTCTCCCCATAATCCTCATCTTCGTCAACATCACCCTCTTGTTGTCCTACCGCAACAATCCATCCCCAATCCCTCCCCGGGCAGTAGCGTTTTCGCCGCCCCCACTGCAATAGCCAGAGCATACCAACTCTCCGACATCGACGCAGGCATAGACAGATTCAACCCACTCCAAATCATCGGCCAGTGTTGGTGTGACTTGAATCATACTATCAACCGCTCCGACTGGAAGTCACAAGGGTCTTTCGGTATATGGGCTCAATGTTATTTGGGTTCGTGTTCTTGGCCTGGTCTGTAACTGTTTTTCCTTTACCATATTGGATTAGGGTTAAGACCTAGAAGATGTACTATAAATACTTCTCATACTCCTCTGTAATTTGTATCTCCTCGAAGTATAGTGAAACTGGCTCTCTCCTGCCCGTGGACTAGCTAACACACATTGAGTTAGTGACCTATGTAAATCGTGTGTCGTGTGTGTGTGCGCTTTCGTCTTCTTGTATTGTCGAATCTTCCTATTTCCCGATCCACAGAGCAACAGTAGTGATAGCCAGGCCGCCTCCGGCACCGTCTACGTTGCCGCAAGAGAATTCACACCCCCCCCCCCCCCCCCCCCCCCCCCCCCGCGGAGAAAGAATCGTCGTGATGGAATTCATCGAGCCAAATGCACCTCTTATCAAATATTATGCTAATCCAATTTAAAATGGTTAAAGTTATGAACGAATTATGCAAAACATGTCATAGAATGAGGTGATAAAACATATATTTTATGTGGCATCAACCACCCTCAAATGTAATTCCTATACTAACTACATCTAATTACATGTTATTCGATCTTTCCCTCCTCCGTCTTTTACTAAAATTTAAAAATATTATAGCCCTAAACACCTTTATTTCAGTTTTTTTAATTCCATCAATACTTATATGCAACTTTTTAACCTTAATTTCTCCTAAGAATTTAATATTTTATCATATTTCTCATACTTATTGTGGTTAGTTGTATGATATATAATGTTTGTTTAATGGTTTAGCTTATACATTTAACTTAAGTATATTAGTTTTTAAGGTGAATTCAATTAGGATGCGAGGTGGGGATTGCTCACTATTATCTAATGATGTAGATGATTTTTTTTTTGGCAAAATACACTTGTATAGCCAAAACTTTCGCGCTTGTGCCAATAATAGTCAAATTTGGAAAAATACCACTTATAGTCATTTATGTTCAATACTTTAACGGTGTCATCTAACAAGCTGACTCGACAAACGAAAATGCTGACGTGGCAACTTTCCTCTTGACTTTTCCAAGTTGGAAATAACCTTTTTTAAAATTAACAAGAAAAAAAAGGAAATAGAAATGAAGATGAGTAGAGTCACTAGAAACCTAAAAATAAAGGAAGATGAAACGTCTACTTCTCTCTTTCCATCTCTCTTCATCTACTCCGTTATCTTCTCTAACGACAATGACTCTGTCACCGATTAGTGATTGCATCAAGGCAGCCCATCCCCTCCCGCCCCGACCATCGAAGAGGTGCATATATATTTTCCACCCTTTTTATTCTCGTCTCTCCATTTTCGCCTCTTTCTGGTTCTCACCATTTTCCTTCTGGCAATGGAATATGAGTCGTTGAGAAAGGGGGGGAAAGCTTACAATCATCAACAATGGCGCCGCATTCGAGTGATGGGGAAAAGAAAGCTATACAGGAAGAATCCCGAGGTGGTGAAAATGGAGATCCCAACCTGATTGAGCTTGTGGTTCCGTCGGAGGAAGATTTCCTCATCGGCGGTGGCGGCGGATCTGAGAGAGTCCCACCCGAATTCAAGACAAATCTTGCAACAAAATGCTAAGCAGCTAACCTGGGTTGTCCAGCACCTCGTCACAACAACGCTCGAGCTTAAGGATTGCTTCACTTTGATTTAATCCGATAGATTTTTTGTTCCAGGTCGAATACCTCACCCTGCCTGGGTTGTTTATGGATCCACTTCAAGAAGATCAATAGCGGTTTCAGAGATTCCCAAACGCAAGCCAATACTTGAGTTCTCCACTTGCATGCTCTTGGCTCTGCGAAAGGAAGAAGTTGATTTGGAGGGCGAGTTGGATGCAGAGCCAAAATCGGCATTAACATATCCGCCATCGAGTGAGGTACATGGAGTGGCAATACAAGGGAATATCAGGCGAAGGGGAAAGACATCAGTGGCGGGAGGCGATCGGAATCAGTGCATCCGAATTCATTGAAGGGAATGATTGGGTGTCTCAAGAGAGTCGGGGAAGAGTGTTGAAGAACAGGGGAAGAAGAGGCACAACAGGGAGTCTCAATGAGTTTATTTATTAATATATTTTTTAATTTATGATGTGTAAATTTAAATTATTGAAATATCTGACGTGTCACTGTTTGCTTATTTGGCGATGATGTGTATGCTGATTTGGCGCTTAGTAATAAGTTGACGGTGTTATTAACATCGTTAAAGCATCTGAAGCAAATGGCTATATTTGTCCTACAACAATTTAATATTGCATCTGCTACTGTGTTCCACGAAGACTTCGTGGAGACTGATCACTGTCCGATCAGAATTGACCTTCTCCCCATGAAGCACCCATCATGTACCCCCTTCAGATTGGATAAACAATGGCGGGACAATGAGGAGTGTTGCCAGATCATTTGTAACCAGTGGAATAGAGGCGGTATGGTTCAGGAAATTCTGAGGGACTGTTAGGGTGAGCTCCAAGCATGGGCAAGGGTTGATCGAGCAAACAAGTTAAAGAGAGAAAAGGAAATCAGAATGAGACTCCAAGATTTACAAGGTCCAAGTAGGACTCCAGATACGGTCACGGAAGAGAAGAGCCTCCTACAAGAACTGGAACTTCTTTGGAACTCGGAGGAAGAATTTTGGGCGCAAAGATCCAGGAATAGTTGGCTGCAAGAGGGTGACAAGAATACGAGCCTTTTCCATGCTAGTACAATCAAAAGAAGGAATAGAAATTGTCTTCTTAAGCTCAAAGATTCAAATGGGAATCAGATTGACAATGTACAGGATCTTGATGAGCACGCCAATGGTTTCTACCGCAACCTCTTCACTGGCAAAGGTGGAAACTTTGACTCGTCGCTTCTAAACGGCTTCCCGGGTCTGGTCTCAAATGAGATCAACAAAGCACTGACAACTCCAGTAGAGAGAGAAGAGATACGAAAAGCGGTCTTCCAACTGGGTGCCAACAAGGCACTAGGTTCTGATGGGTTTCCAGGACTTTTCTTCAGGAATTATTGGAATACCCTCGGAGACATCTTCTGCGAAGAGGTTATCAGATTTTTCCAGACAAGCGCAATGCCGTAAAAATGGAATGATACCTTCATTGCTATCATACCCAAGGTGGAGGCTATGGAGGTTGTTAGACAATTTTGTCTGATCAGCTGCTGCAACTTTTGCTACAAAGTGATCACCAAAATCATGACTAACAGACTCCAACCATGTTTGCCATACCTGGTTAATGAGCTACAATCTTCTTTCACAGGTGGAAGAAAAATTCAGGACAACATTATTATTGTCCATGAAGTGCTCAATCATTTTAAGAAGCACAGAACAGGCAATCGAAGAGACATGATGATGAAGCTTGACATGAGAAAAGCCTATGACTTGGTGGAATGAGACTTTCTCATTGAGCTCCCGAGAGCTTATGGTTTCAATGAGGTCTGGTGTGGTTGGATTCGAGCATGTATTACCATAGTGAAGTTCAGATTTCTCTTTAAGGGTGAACATCATCGGAATTTCAGCCTTCCAGGGGTATTCGGCAAAGGGACCCTCTGTCCCCCAATTTGTTAGTCCTAATGTCTAATGCCCTATATTTCCTAATCAAGAAGGTTGTTCAGAGACAAGACATTAAAGGAATGAAGCTTAACAGATCCTGCCCGACCCTTACTCACTGCCTGTTCGAAGATAACACAGTCATCTTTTCTTTGGGGAAGCTTCGACGACTGAGGCAGGGAAGATTTTGAGCATCCTTAATGACTATGGATCGATCACAGACAGGAAGTTAACAAGGAGAAATCATCGATGTTCTTCAGCCACAATGTGCCCATTGAGGATCAGGAGACAATTATCTAAGCTGCCAAGTTTCGCGGCATCCAATGGCCACTCTAAGTACCTTGGAGTACCTACTGAGTGGTGAAGATCGAAAAAGGAAACTTTCCAATTCCTCTTACACCGCATGGAGAACAGAGGCGATTCATGGAAAAGCCTGCTCCTCTCCCCCGGCGGCAAAGAGGTTTTGCTCAAGGCGGTCTTCCAAGCCGTCCCATCGTTCATTATGTGTTTGTTCCTCCTCCCACGTTCTACCATGAATAAGATGGATTCATGCTCAAAAAAATTTTCTGGGGAGGCTCAATGTCAAAAAGGACCATTCACTGGAGAGCTGGTCGTATGCTCTACGCCCCGAAGGTGGAGGGAGGTTTGGGTTTCCGACCTTTTCACGTCTTCAACCTGGCATTACTGGCCAAGCAGGCCTGGGGAATCCTCACAAGCCCGAATGCCTTTTGGGTCAAGGTACTTAAAAGTATCTATTTCCCACACTCTGACTTTTTGAATGCTAAGAAGGGAGGCAAGGCTTCATGGATCTGGGCGAGTCTCTGTAAAGCAAAAAAGTGGATGGGACAAGGGGTGATCAGAGTGATTGGCAATGGGAAGTCTACCAAAATGTTCCAGGACCCTTGGAGATTCGACCAAGCAGGACCTCTTATCCAAAATGGAAGCCCTGATTTGGCAACAGTTGACCACTAGATTGATGGGGTCACCAGAGAATGGAATTTTGACCTCCTTGCAGATTTGCAGATTGTCTGAGCCCCCTAAGACTTGCTGCAGGTAGCGGCTACTTTGATTGGCCCTAAGTCTCTTGAAGATTTCTGGGTTGGAGATTCACTAATCAAGATTCCTTTACGGTTAAATCAGTGTTCCATCTTTTCCAAAACCAAGTATGTGTGTCCCAGGGAGAGGCGGTGTTGGCTTCCGAGTCAAGTAAAGAAAGGTGGAAGTGGCTGTGGAGCCTTTCCCTCCCACCGAAAATGAAGTTCTTTGTTTTGGAGGTGCTCCAAAGGGGCCATGGCTTCAGAGGAAAATATCCATGCGCGGAAGTGCTCACCATCCAAGAGCTGCCCGTTGTGCGAGTCCCCTTCCGAGTCGATCCACCACTGTCTTTTCATGTGCCCTCATGCGGCAGAGGGTTGGTCTCAAGAATGACCATCCCTGTCTGCACCTCCTCCACTCACTATCATCTTGGAATGGCTGGACTCTCTGAGACCCAGGTACTCGACCATCTCCATTCAGAAGATCATCTTTCTTCTGTAGCAGACATGGAAGACTAGGAATGAACGTATTTTCAAGAACAAGGCCCCCGAACCCCCTTCCACAATCTCGAAGGCCATGCTTGCCCACCACCAGTGGACCAATTGTAGTAGCAAATAATATTTGCATCTAATTCAGGAATTGGAAACAAATTTTTTTAATTGTAATTCTACTTTTAAACACTTTTTTTTTATCTTCTTATTTGGTTTTAGAGACAAATGTATTTGCTTCTAAGAGATCTTATGGAAGCAAATATACTTGCATCGAATGAGTACATAAATCAAATAATTTTATTTCCAATTTTTATAATTTGAAAATAAATATTATAATTTCTCGTGGCACATATACTTTTATAATTTTTTATTGTATATTACATGCTTTCTTCGCTGTGTTAATTATACTTTCAATACATTATTCAAAAAGAAAAAAATACCAAAAGAATGCATGAATATCTATTTAAATACTTTGAAAAATACAAGCAGAGCATGTATGGCATCGTACAAGGTCAGCACAATCCCCTTTGGAAAAAAAAAGTTCAGCACAATCCCTTAACCGTTTACTCCCACAATCCCTCAGCCTAGCTATTCTGCTAACTATAAGATTCGTTAGTATATATTAACTAACTAGCCTATTACCCGGCCCGTTGGCCGGATTAGTGTATGTTACCCACTTGTGGAATAGGAGAAAAAGCAAGTGAGAGTAGAAGGAATTGGGATTCCACTTGCTTAGGACCGACCCACTAATCCGATTCTTCCCGACCCGCCCCAACCTAAAGGGTCAGAAAGAGTCAATAAGAAAATACGAACGGAGAGGATTAGTCATATATCTTGAATCTTCATAAGTGGGTCAAACAGGATCAAGGTTGGGTGAGGGGAATTTTTAGCGCTAAGCAGAGTTCTGGTTGAATAACTTTACTTAGGCCTAGAAATTGGTGCTGATGCAGACTGCAGTTTTTATTATACCATCATCAATCATCATTGAATTAGTCCTGGGCATCCCTCCCCGTTGTCGGTCTGAATTCTAATGATGGCTTCGTTCCTTGCACCAGCCATATCGGCGAGTTGTCATCTCGAGCATGATTTGCCTATGTACAAATGATACAATTAGAGTATGAAACTGAATTCAAAGGAAAAGAGAATTCTATCACATGAAAATAAATACACGCATAATAGTGAAGCTAAGTGAAAGTCATTACTCGCAAATCAATTCTCAAAAATTACAGACTAAACAATGGCTAGAATGGCACTAAAACTACCAAGAATCATGGACGAAGCAACTTGTCAAATTAAATAATCCTTATACTCAAAACTACCTTCTAACTTGAAATAGGACATGATCACAGTTCATAGCTCTCTTCTCACTATGAATTGGTTGCAGCTCGTCCTTATCACTGCCTCCCAAGCTCAATTCCAACAGAATAGAGACAGTTATGTAAGATAACCATATCCTTACTGATCATAATTCCTTTCTTCACTCCATTTTTGTCAGAGAAAAGAGTTAACCCCCTCTCCTGCATTTCCCTTTCCCCCTCTCTTCTCCCTCTTCTTCACAAACCGATCCCTAAACCAGCAACAACAACACAAAAATAGCCTTCGCCTCTGCCATCTCCATCTACTGAACGCGTTGGTGGCAATACAGGACTGCATAAGCAAAATTTTCTAAAATCAAACTAAATTTTCTGAAGGAGACTCAACCACGAAAAAAGAGTAAAGCAACAATGCTAATAGTTCAGATGGTTGGTTTTGATGTTATACGTTGCTTTTGTTATGGTCTCCAGTGTATCAACTGCAACAGAGATGTTTCCTCCAATCATCTTTAGTGCACGATTTAGAAGTAAGTCCTCTTGTTTGTGTCAAACGGAAACATTTATGGGTTCTTAACTCCCCTGTTAGTGTAAATGCATCAGCAGCAAAGAAGTTTGACAACACAGCAAGCACCCAGGCAAAATGATACAATGCAGTAGGTGATATGTGTCTCGAAGGTTTTGAGCTACTAAAGTTCATGTTAAAAATAAACATGAATTAAAATGGATTATTCTATTAAGCAAACATCCCCTCTAATCATACAAAGATCAGATATCTAATTCACAAACAATTAAGCCATAAAAAATCATCACACATCCACCACCTTTGATTGCCTATATTTGGTTTTTCGCAAAGTTATGGACTCTTAAGGGTAAAGTTCATGGGTAGTCTGTTTCATAACTCTAGAGAGCACAGTAAGCAGCCACCAACCAGACATAGTGCGGTAGGCGAATATGATTCTCAATTCACAATTTCTCACCACCGGAAGTAAGAACAGACCATAATAAGCGTAGCGTTCATGGGTGGTCTGTTTCATAGCACTACTACACAATTTGTTAAAAAAGAAAGATAGATATTTAGCATCACGGCGAAACAACTTTTACAGGCCAACAACGACAACATGCTGCAACCACCAGAACTGGTATCACAACTCATAGGGAAAATCAAAAGATTTACTCTTAAATTAAGTAGTTACAACATCGAGCAATCGTCAAGCACATACACCATCACAAAAGTCACAGAACTTGATTCACAAAGCATTCAAACATTTGAGGACATTTATGCAAAGATACAACTTATATGTCTTTTTTCCAAGCCATTTCCATCAACATGCTAATAAATTTGCAATGCATAAAACAAATGGGCTAAAACTTGAAATTCAACCTGTTTGACCGACCCATGCCAAATTCTAATTATTCTTTACTTTTAAACTTTCTATTTGAAAATAAAAAAATAGTGAAAGAAAAAAGACGACTACAATTCGCCATTTGCACATCACTTATTCGGGAATAAAACCATATAAATTCAAAAGGAACTGAAAATGTTGAGGATCGTTTTAATGTTTAAAATAACCAAATAGATTTTTATGTTTAGTTTTTTACTAACAAATACCAAACGATTCCCTATAAAATATACTATAATTTGATCATTATGATGTCAAATAATTATAAAATATATATTTGAAATGATAAAAATTGGACTAATTGGGTTGGTCGAGGTTGAACCATTGAATAACTTTAAAATACATTATATTTTAGCCACTAAGATATAAAATAATAGCATAATATATATTATGCCAGAGAAAATAGCTTGTTTTAGAATGGCAAACCCATGATGTTCATTTGTTTTACTTGATGACCAAATCGCATGTAGGTCAGGCTCATTCAACTCTTTTATTTTATGGTTAGCGGTTAGCCCATTAGATACCATGCATTAGTCTATTGTTAAATTTTTTATTTTTAACAATAAAAAGAAGTATTATTTTTGCCTTTTCATATATATTTTATCACCACGGATAAATAAAAAGGTATAAAGAAAAAAATTGACACTCCTGGACTCGTTTAAATCCGCATGTGTACGGTAAGTTGGCCCGTTCCACAGAGAAAAGAGAAAAAAATTGACACTCCCTATTCTACCCTTCCTACAAACGCTCATGGAACAGAGAATTTGAAATGGGGGAAGAGTTTTTTCCACCCTGCTATTATATGTTTTTAATTTAAAAGGATACAACAAATGTACTTAGTGTGATTGGTTATGATCCTTGCCTTTCTTTAAAATGGTCATGGTTCAAATCCCAGTACATATCTTTTTAATGAATAAAAAAAAGTAATTGTGAAGACCAAAATGTCCTTCCTACTTTCACTCTCGTTGCAGGAAATTTGAAATGGGGCTCTCGTTTTTCCCTTTGGTGTATTATATTATGTGTAGATGTAGATATCCAAAATGTATAAAATAATATCCAAGTCTGCTAAGTATCTAGATAACACAGACTAGTATTCAAAACATCACAAACTAGTTTCCAAATAGCAAATACCAACTAATATCCATAAACAACCAACTAGTATTCAATATGGATACTCTTATATGTTATCTGGATACTCTTATGTGTTATCTGAATACTAATTATGTGCTATATGGATACTATTCTGTGTTGTCTAGATATTAGCTTGTGAATTTGGGATAATAGTTGATTCATGATGGATATCAGTTAGCAAACTTTAAATACTAATATGTGCTCTCTAGATAGTTTAGTACTTGATACTAGTTCATGTATTTTGGATATCAGTTAGTATCTGCTAACGAATCTTCAAGTTAGCGGATTAACTTTTACCACAATCCCTTTACAAGTTACTCTTATTAGTGAGAAATTACAGTGAAAGCTCATCAATCTTCAACTCCATGAATGAATGCTTCAAAACTTAATTAGAAGTTGATGTTCGAACCACAACGTTGAATATCTAGATCCTTCGACGCTACACTCCTCGATCACCGTCGGAGCAAATTCCCCACCCAACAACGATCTTATTGAGGGACGGTTATCAAGGATAGCAATCAGGGGTTGGTTGGGTTTTAAAGGATCTAGATCTGGCCGAGGCGGGTGATGGATCTGTCTAAATCCCTTTCTGCCGCTCGCACTCTGCTTTTCCCATCTTAGATTTGGTGCCCGCCGCTCTCGTTTGTTGAGGTGATTGCGGAGATGGCGATTTGAGGGACGGCGACAACAATGAAATCTGAAAACGCATAGAAGAAAAGTCCAATCAATTAGCCGATAATAAACTGAATCGTAGGGGAAAAAATGACATTTACCTGTGAAATCCCAAGGGTCGTGCTTATAGAGATTGATTTCAGCGGTAATCCTAACGAAAATTGGCTGGGAGGCGCACTTCAATCGTCGATGCCATCATCCCTCGAATCAAAGGCCTTTCAACGTCTTGGAAGGTTGGATCAGAAAGGTTGAGATGATGGTTGCTTGAATGAACAGTCACAATTATGACGTTTTGATCGGGAAGGGAGAGATGTTAGCGGCTTGAGGGAGATGAAGCGGCGGCAACCGGTGCTGAAAAAGGGATTTGCATGCGACAGGGATGGGGGCATGGGGTTTCTCCTTATTAATTACTTTAATTATTAGTTTTTTCTCAAAGTTCTTTTCTTGGAAATTTAATACATTATTATATTTTTAATAAACGAGGGTAGTAACTAGGTTAACAATTACAAGGGGATTTATTTATAACTTACTTGTACATGGTTAGGATTTTAAGTGATATTTGTATTTATCTCTAAAGATCATTAGATTTGTGTCTATATTAATAAAAATATTAGAGGCATTTGTATTTGTTTCTATATACTATTAGATTTGCACATATATTAACATGTCTATAAGAGACATTTGTATTTGTCTCTAAATACTATTATATTTGCATCTATATGAAATAGATATAAGGAACATTTGTATTTGCTTCTAAAGACTAAGAAATTTTTCTCTATATGACATGATTATAAGTGGCATTTATATTTGCCTATAAAGACTATAAGATTTGCCTCTATATGATATACTATAAGTAACATTTGTATTTGTTTCTAAAAGCTATTAGATTTACCTATAGAGACAAATAATTTCTTCTATTGAAACAAATAATATTTCTGGCCCTAAAACTCAACTATAGATACCAATACAATAATTGTTTCTATTTATTTGTCTCTATAGGTTGGTTTAATGGTTTTCTTGTAGTGAAAACTGAGCCCCTGCACTGTTTTTCCCCACTTGAAGCAGAAGCTAAGGCGTTGCTAGAGGGCTCCCTTTTGGCTGCTGACCTCCGTTTGCCATGCCTTGTCCGCTCGGACTGCCTCTCCCTGGTCCAGATGCTTCAGGGCCAGCCTGGTTTGTGGCCATGGCGTGCAGCAGCGTGGCTCGACATCATCAAGCAGACCATTGACGCCCACCCAATGATCAAGGTTAACCACATCAACAGGAAGAATACTTCCAAAGTAAACTTGGTGGCTAGGTCTTGTGCAAAGAATCAGCTGCCCATTGAATGGCTTCATATTCTTGATGTAGTTGCTCCCCTCTTGTAACCCTTGGCTTTTGCCACAAATTCTTGATGTAGTTGCTCCCCTCTTGTAACCCTTGGCTTTTGCCACAAGTAATGGAAAAACAATGCCCTTTGTAAAAAAAAAAAAAAACTTTAAAAGCTGGCTATAAGTGATATTTCTCCAAATTTGGCTATTATTGGCACAAACGTGAAAGTTTTGACTATACAAGTGTATTTTGCCTTATTTTCATACGCAAGATGAGAAGGGTTTTATTTTACGAATTGAAAAGATAGATTTAGTAAAATTAGCCTCATTACCATTCCTACTAGTAACTTACTTCCTTGCTCGGACCAATAGCTGAAACTGGTTCAAAATACAAATGTAGCTTCGTCTGGTTTCTTGGGTCAGACTGTTCAGGTCAGGCCGGTTTTAACAACACTAGTTAGTAGTTACCTTAACTTTATTTTTTACTAGTTTTAATGCCCGCGTTCCGCGCTGGGATTTGAGATTTATTTGACAAAATAGATCGAATGTGTTTGGAGATCAGTATATATTTACTACAATTTATGTTATTTCATGTTGATTCGAGCAAATTTCATTCCTAGTGCCGAAACCTTGAGGTAAAAGATGTGAGCAACTTATTGGAACAAATCCAGTTACAGTTTGTCGCCTAATTATCTACTGAGGTAATACTCAAAATCAAAAAATATACATATGTAGGATCGATAAAAGAGCGGATATCCAGATGTCCAATGCATAAACTCGTCCTTCATCAACCCGCAGAACCATAGACTTCATTTCCCATTCAGACCACAAATCTCCTAAATCAGCTCCGATAACAAAAGAATCATGAAATTATATTCAGGTCCGCGAAAGGACCTCAAATATTAAAAGGAATCCGCCAATGAAATAGACTCCAATAAACAAATTAATTAGAAAGGTAATGTTTGAATTCCATGAATCGAAGACAGTAAAAGCAGAAAAGAAGCCACATACTCTAACGACTTATTTACCAAGAGTTCAAGCAAAGACAAACAAAATCCACCATGGAGACTTGGTTGAGCACAAATGAAGCACGAATAAGCAAGGAAAGGATGAGCAATGGTGGGTGGGGAAAGAAGAAGAAAGAGAGAATTGGTTCTCGTTCTGTAGAAATGGTGGGTGGGGAAAAAGGTAAGTGAGGAAAGAGGGGGTAAGTGGGGAGAGGGAGAGAGAGAGACAGAGGCACACTTTCTTAGGAAAAAAAATCGGGCAGAGTCTACAAACCGAACCGAATCGGGATATATTTCGATTCAAACTCGGTTCACTCCTTGAGCTACTTCGGGGATTCGGTAAATGTCTGTTTGGTTCGGTTCAAACCAAACTGACCGAATGCCCACCCCTACTAAATATCTTGATTAAAATACCTGAAAATTTATATGCAGGATTTGTTTAAAATAACTTGTTTGGATCAAGAAGTGGAATTTTAACATCTAACTCTAAATTACATTATTATCCTTGTCTCCTTCCCCAGTTCCTTGTTCGTCTGCTCATTTTTTATTTTCATGCCCAAATGAAGCATCCTTTCCACTCATCTGCTACTGTTCATATCTCGATCTGCTTCAACCAAATCAAGTCTTATAAGATGGGCATGTTCTTCTGTGTTGCTGGGTTTAAACTCAGAACCCATTCAACCATTATGAAATTAACCACCACAAGCCATCGCCGACACAATCAAAGGCGGACAGATCTTTAATAGAAAGGGAAGCCGATGAAGATTGAAACCACAAGCCAACGCTGACACAATCAACCTGTAGGGACTCAAACACCGACAATATGGAGGGCTGGGAGGGGAGTCGAGCGGAGATTCGGGTTGTGAATCAGGGATTTTTGGGGTCGATTTGAGATGGGCGAAGGAGAACCAGTTCCCTTGATCTAAAACCGAGCCTCCATATACAAAGAGAGACAAGTCAGATGGTGGCGGGGCTTTCTCTACTGGCCGGGAACTGTGCTGGATGAAGAGGCTTTTGTGGATGGAGATTTTCGGAGGGGCGAACAGAATTAATTGGTCGACGGTAGGGGTGTTCAAATGGTTACCATGGTTATAACCAAACCAAATAATGCTAAATTTCATTAACCATGGAATACGATATCATAACCAAACCGTCCAAACTATTACAACAACCAAATTAACCAAACTAAGGTTTAATCGGTTTGGTTAATTGGTTAACCAGATTAAACAATATAAAATCACATTATCATTGACGATGAAAATTTTCCGATTAATGCAACAATTCGCAATTTATATAATGAATAAACCATAACAATCAACACGTAGTTATAGTTGACCCTTAACAAAAATACATGCAACTAAGACAATTATCTTACGATTAGTATAGAAGTATTGACCAAACAAAAAATTATGACAATGGTATGAGTTAACTAATTGTTGTGTTTGTGAATTGACTTAGTCTCTTAGCAATTATCATAGGCTGGAAATGACCTTCCTTTCAAGTTTTCATTCATCATAATGTATGAAATTTATCTAAATTAGGCGTTCATATGTTGTGGTCTAGACTTTACATATATAAATATACACTATATGAGCAATATTGAGCTTTATATTTTATGAGTCTAAAAGGGATGAACGTTAACCCTTGAGTGGTTATGCAAAGTATTATGTGTTTATAATATATGTTAGATATATGACTAATTACTTAACTGATTAATTTGGTTTGACTGGTTAGGAGTGTCTGAAACCAAACCAAACCACCTAAACCAAACAAGCTAACAACTTTAACCAAACCAAACCAATTATCCAAATTAACCAAACCAAATTATCCAAATAGTACCGGTTAAAATGGTTACCACGGTAACCAAACCGTTTGAACACCCCTAGTCGACGGGGACTGGATTTTGACGATTTGGAAGGGACGGAGTGACAGAGATGGGCGAGAAGGCAAGAGTTGGGTTAGGGAAGGGATAATTACGGAAAAGAAATAAAAATAATGATGAATTGTGAAATAGTTGATGGTGATTAGCTATTTCATAAACCCATATTTGAAGGTTTTTAAAATCTCTAATAGTAAAAAAACTCTCATTTTTCCAAACGCATGATTGTTTTAAAATCCTGCGGAATTAAAGATTGTTTTAAAATCTCTCATAAATCCCTTATTAAAATCCTTTATCCAAACGAGCCTTGATGTACCGAGTACAGGAAATGGCTTTGCTGGGGTTTTCGTTTTGGGAATTACTATTTATCGCCCTAAATATTTGAATTTATCCGCCCTAAACTAACCACACGGACGATTATGCCCCGACTTAACCCTTCTGTCGTCTCTCTCCCCATCGCACACACAGCGCCGCTGCTGCCCTCCACTCCAAACCACCGCCGTCGTCGCCCTAAAAACCAGCGCCACCGTCGCCCTCAAACCCGCGCCACCGTCGCCGAGAATGAAGAAGAAGCCGCGCCGGTCGTCGTCGTCGCGCCCGAGGAAGAAGGTCGCATCGAGGGAAGTAATATGCTTTGATTTTTTGGTTATTTGTTTAACGGTGACAACGCAGGTTAAAACCTATCACCGACAGGGTAGAAACGTGTCGGAGATCCGCCTCTACCCCGCCGACGATGGGTTTTCAACCCGCGATGTCGACGTAAGGAGTAGGGGAGGGGCACTTGAGGTCGGGGACGAAGCTGCAGACATTCATTGGTGGAAGCTTCCAAAACAGTGGACGATGAAAATGGTGATTATTGAATGGTTGTGGAATTAGTAATTTTGTTAATTAATTTTCAGTCTTGTTGTTGAACTAGCCAAGCCTTTTAACAAAAAAAAAAAAAAAAAAAAAAAAAAACTAGCCAAGCCGATGCTGCGGGAGGACAGAAGGCAGAGGGAAGAACGGAGACATGGCGGCGTTGTTGCGAGAGGAAGGGCGCTCAGCGGGTGAATTATTAATTAAAACGAGGACATTTAAGTAATATTGGATGTTTTAGGGCGGATAAATTCAAATACTTAGGGCGTTAAATAGGAATTCAGTTCGTTTTTCAATTTTTTGTACAACTGAACAAACGACACCGTTGCTTCTCGGCTTGAAAACCGAATACATCAGCTTCTGAAACTGCAAGCAAGTTCGAAGGGAAGCTGCCTGCGCGCTCTGTTCACTTCAATGGCGGCGGCGCCATTTTCTTCGTCTGCTCCTTCTCCTACTTCTTCTTCAAGACTTCCCAATGTTTCGTCTTCGTCTTCACCCTCCCTTTCACTTTCGAGAGATTCCCACAAAACTCGGCTGCAGGCCCAATTTAAATCGTCCCCGAGAAGAAATCTTTGTGTCAGCGCATCCTCCCTCCCTTCCAGCGATTCTGGTACACCCTTTTCTCCCATCCATGGATAAATTACCCAGCTCTAATGTGTTGAGATTTCTGAACTTTTTCTCCTATTTTGTGTGAAGTGTCGTTTGTATTTATTGTTTACTCCCGGTTCTAATGATCTTCTTGCCTTCTATTCTAAGTCGTCACTCTGCTCGATTACGGAGCTGGCAATGTCCGTAGTGTCAGAAACGCCATTCGCCATCTCGGTTTTCAGATTAAAGATGTGAGCTTTTCAACATTTGTCTGTGTTTTCTGTTTGTCCTTCGCAATGTATACCCTCCCTTTGCTCAATGTCAAACAAGTGGCTTGTTCTCATAGTTAGAGGAAACTAACTGAGAACTGAAAAAAAAACTTCAGGTGCAAACTCAAGCCGACATTCTGAATGCAGGCAGGCTCATCTTCCCCGGTGTGGGGGCATTTGCACCAGCCATGGATGTGCTTAATAAGACTGGGTGTGTGCCTTCAAACTCCTCTTAATGCATTTGTATCTTGGAAAATCTTACGATTACCTTTGCATTGCGGTAGGCAGTGTCCGAGAGTTCAGAACTTGAATTAACTGAATTCGAAGTTGGAGATTAAATTTAGTAAGAGTGGTTGAGGATTTGCTTTTAACATTTTGATTAATATCTGCAGAATGGCTGAAGCTCTATGTGAGTACATTGAGAAGGACCGTCCATTTCTAGGAATCTGCCTTGGACTTCAGTTACTCTTCGAGTCCAGCACAGAGAATGGTCCAGGTCAGATGGAAACTCCGACTATTTGATCAAATAAGATTCATTTGTAGCGTATTAGTCTGCAACAGCAAGTGATGTGGTCTACTTTACCATTTTGGTTGTCCATGGATCCTTCCAACTTTGCTCATTAACACTGAGGTAGTTTGTTTTGCAACCTCTTTTGTTATCTTGGCTTGTCCAGCGCCAAGCTATGGTGATTGTGTGAGTAGATGTTCTAGGGAGGGGCTGTATTTCTGTGAAATAATTTTTTGAAAGAAATTGACAGATAAAACTAGTATACATGCTGGATGGAAATGAGACTATGTTTGGATCAATGATAATGTAGTTGAGCATATGCTTATTTCCTTTAGTCTAAGCTTTTTCCTGTTGCTGACTGCTTGCATGCTGATACAGTGACTGGTCTCGGCTTAATCCCTGGTGTGGTTGGGAAGTTTGATGCCTCAAATGGGTTCAGAGTGCCCCACATTGGTTGGGATGCTTTGCAAATTGCTGAAGACTCCGAGATTCTGGATGAAGTTGGCAACTGCCATGTGTATTTTGTTCACTCTTACCGGGCAATGCCAGTGCGTTCCTATTACTTTATTTTGTAGATATCGTTGGAGTGCCTTCTGTTTCTCATGTATCATATATCTTTCGTTGTACCTCATGTTGGGACTTAGAAACTGTTCCTTATGCTTTGGCAGTCGGAGGAGAATAAAGAATGGATTTCCTCCACTTGTAATTATGGTGATACGTTTATTGCATCCGTCAGAAAGGGAAACGTGCATGCGGTTCAGTTCCATCCAGAGAAGAGCGGAGGTAACTAGTTCGTCTCGTCTCGACTTTGTTCATTCTCTTGTGAGTCCTGAAGCTTCCAGACTTTGGCAATATCTTTCTGCTTTTTTTTTTTTTTTTTTTTTTTTGCAAATTATCGAAGATAATGTATCATGACTTACTACTTACAATAGTGGATGGATAAAAAACTGCAGATGTTGGTCTTTCAGTATTGAGAAGGTTCTTACTTCCGAAATCATTTCCGGCAAAGGTAGGTTTTGATCTCTTAAATTCACCTATGCATAACGAGCCATTTTAAATATCCATCTAATTAAATGCGAACTTTATCTGAAGACAGAATCCAACTGAAGGGAGGGCATCAAAACTTGCAAAAAGGGTAATAACTCCTGAAACTGGCTTCAGTTAGTTGTGTTTTACACAGTACTGACTGTGGAGCTGAATTGGAGGCATTAAAATATTCATATTTTTCCCTTGTTTCTTTTTAATGTGTCAAGTTTTTTGTTGTTTTCGGAAACCTCCTGTCGCTGTGGTTCAGGTAATTGCTTGTCTTGACGTGAGGGCAAATGACAATGGAGACCTGGTTGTGACCAAAGGAGACCAGTATGATGTTCGAGAGAATACAGAAGAGAATGAGGTAAGAGCAGAGGACTGTTTTATGAGTTCAAGGATTATATGTGTTGGAACTCTTACTTGAACTGGTTTAGAACAAACATCAATGCTGTGTGGCTCGCCAAGAGTTCCCTTTCTGCATCCTATAATTCCTTTGGGAAGCACTTTAGGTCCTGTTATGTTTTTTCTTGGATTGAAGTCTTGATGCCTCAAGAAGCTATTTACTATGACACAGACATGGTTCTCTTTCATTTACTTCTCATGTCATTCTATGCTGTATAGGTGAGAAACCTGGGCAAGCCAGTAGACCTTGCTGGGCAGTACTACCTAGATGGGGCCGATGAGGTAGTAGTTGTTATCATTTCAGAATATATTAGTCATGATCCAATATTGAACTCAATCCACTTCTAATGCATATGCTTGTTCAAACTCAGGTTAGTTTTTTGAACATCACTGGCTTCCGTGACTTCCCTTTAGGCGATTTGCCGATGCTTCAGGTTGGCTTTTCACCTTCCTTCTTTATGCAAAGGAAGTGCTCTTTTCCTTCTCCTGCTTTGAAGCGCGTCCACAGCTCTCTAAGTTACATTTGCTTGATGCATTTTTAGGTCTTGAGGTACACTTCCGAAAATGTTTTTGTACCATTGACTGTTGGAGGTGGTATTAGAGATTTTACAGATTCAACTGGCAGGTACATTCCCTAATTGTACTTGATAGACTTGGATGCACAGTACTGTCTTCTAGGATCATCAATCTTTAAGCTATATCCTTTACGCTTTTCTCTTTTTCTTTTTTAGGTACTACTCTAGCTTGGAAGTTGCTTCAGAATATTTCAGGTCTGGAGCTGATAAGATTTCCATTGGAAGTGATGCTGTTTATGCTGCAGAGGAATATTTGAGAACTAAAGTAGGTGATATCTACAATGATTTATGTCAGCAGACGGTTTTCATGCATGTGTCAATGTTCTTATTTTTGTGCATTTGACCGATTCTTTCAACCAACCGTAGGTGAAGACTGGAAAGAGCAGCATTGAACAGATATCGAGAGTTTATGGAAATCAGGTAACATCTTCCCTAGTTTGGTTTTGTGGTAACTTGATTCTTTTCAAAACCATTTCTTGTATAAAATGTGAAAAGGAATTGAAATGGAAGTTGTCCCGCATGAAAAGAACAGAGATGCTTAGTTGTCTATTTGGAATAAGCATCATCTGCCATAGTTTGAGAATATTTCAGCCACTAGTAGGATGCCTCCTCGAAGACGAAAATAGATTGTGGTTTTGCCGGCTTAATGTCCTGAAAGTATCTTTGTCAAATATCCAGTATGGATAGAAAACTTGAATATTCATTCTCTTCACCTGACTTGAGCTGTTTGTTGTTACAGGCTGTGGTTGTTAGCATTGATCCTCGAAGAGTGTACCTTAGTAGTCCTAACGATGTGGAGTTCAAGGCAATAAAGTTATCAAACCCAGGTAAAAAGAAAACTACTAAGCGATCTTTGTACCTGAATAGTCTTTGTAAAAGCATTAACAAAAAAGATAAAGTCTTTGTTTAAGTGCGTTATACTGATGAGGTTGTAAAATAATGGTTTTAGGTCCAAATGGAGAGGAATATGCCTGGTATCAGTGCACGGTAACATCCCTTATTTTCCCTAGCCCATCATAGAATTGATTGGTTTAAGCCTATGTGATTTTTCATGCACTCTTTTCGTATTGGCTTTTAAAGGTTAGTGGTGGTCGAGAAGGCCGGCCAATTGGAGCTTATGAACTTGCCAAAGCAGTTGAAGAGCTGGGCGCAGGGGAAATACTTCTGAATTGCATCGATTGCGATGGTAAGATTCCCCATTGCCAAAATTCCTTGTCATTTGCCTACAAATTAAAACCAGAGTATTCCTCTCTCCCGATTTTGGCATATAATGTTCTCCCCACTTCCCATACAGGTCAAGGAAAAGGCTTCGACATAGATCTGATAAAGTTGATATCTGATGCGGTTAGTATTCCTGTGATCGCCAGTAGTGGTGCAGGTGCTGCTGAACACTTCTCAGAGGTATTCAAGAAAACCAGTGCATCTGCTGCACTGGCTGCTGGTATCTTCCACAGGAAAGAGGTATGCCCCTCAAAACAGTTCGTCCGTTGGGAAAACTTCCTTTCCTAGTAGACCTGTGATCTGTTGTTGTGTTATGCATTACGCTGAGACCTCTTTTTCCAGGTGCCCATAGGGTCTGTGAAAGAACACTTGTGGAAAGATGGCATTGAGGTCAGGATCTGATGTTCGAGGACTGCTTTCGCCGTTGGAGATTTTTCAATGCTCTCCATACCAGTTCGCAGGCTGTTGGAGGCAGTTGCTTCTGTGGCAAGCATTGTTTCTGAACTTTTATTAGCAAAACTTCGGAAAAAGACTATCACTCCGAGATGGGTATAGCTATTGGACATACTGCAGAGTAGTTTGCCATCGTGTTTAAGGAATGACATACTTTCGTTTTCGCAAAGTAAAATGGATCAAGGGAACTGTTTGCTGCGTAATGCCACTTGATACTTGAATGATGATTAGTTAAATTAAAAGGAGTTGCTCATAGTATAAAGTTATGGCTAAATTGCAAGTTTGATCACTGAAATTACTTAAAAATTTCATGTTTGTCACTAAAATTAATTAATACCATCCGTAGTCACTTAAATTAGGTTAACAGTTCAAGTTTGGTCACTGGTCGTTAGTCTCCATTAACTTTTGCTGACGTGGCGGTCAACTCTTATAGTTGACCGTTAAATGAGTGACGTGGCAATTAAAAATTAACAAAATAATTTAATTTAATTATTTTTTATTTCCACCTAATTATTATAAATATTAAAAAAAATCCTTATTCCTTTTAATTATTATTTTCAACCGCCCGTCGTCGTTCCTCTATCCTCCGGTCGACGCCTCTCCCGGCCGGCTAAGCCCCGCGCCATCAACGTCTTGGGCCTCCTCAATTCCGCCAGAGGCCGACCCCCACCACCCCAGCTTCTGCGACTGCTCTGTCGATTTCGCCGAGTCGATTTTCGAACTCGAATTGGGACTCGGTGTCCACAGCTGCGTCTTTGTGTTTGTGGAGGATGCGCTTGATTTCTCTGCAGATAGAGATTCTCTTACCTTTCTCGGAATCAGAATTGTACCGAGTGGCGGAGGAGGAGAAGGTGGTGGAGGAGGTGGTGGTGGAGCGGTGGCTGCACTGGGCGCGAAGTCGTTTAACGATTGAAGGAGTGTCATATTCGGCGTCGGCGTCGGCCCCGAGAATTTCGATTTTTTTGAGTGATACGAACTTGGCTGCTCGTTGTGCTGAGCTCCACTCTCATGCGGCGGCGGCCGTCGAGGTGGAGGCTTCGATGATGGCTTCTTAATTGAAGGAATAATCACATGCTTCATTTCGGGAGAAGAAACAGAGGACGAAAACCTCGATTTGGGGGAAGTTCTCTTCAAGTGAGGAACAAATACAGAGGAACCATTATTACTTCCATTGACTGACCTCAACGAGCTGCCATCGTTGCTTTTAGAGTAATGCCGTCGCGTAGAACCCGAAACAGGAGTGTAGAAGCCGTCGTTATTGCTTATGGCGGAGCCCGCCGGCGTGTAGAACGGCGTGTCGTTGTTGCTCTCTTCACTAGACGCTGATGAAGTCGGAGATCCGAAGCTCTCGTATTCTAGCCTTGGAGCAGCTGCAGCAGCAGAGACTGGACGAGGAGGAAGACGAGGATGGATATTCGAAGAAGCAGCTGCGGAAGGAGGTTTCAACAATGGCGGCAGCGACTGCAACTCAGGACTGGATCTGTACCGATCAGATCTCTTGGTAGAGTTCAGCTTATGGTAGGGAAAATAATAATTAAAGAATTAGGATTTTTTATTTTTTATAATAATTAGGTGGAAAATAAAAATAAAAATAATTAAATTTTTAATTGCCACGTCACTCATTTAACGGTCAACTATAAGAGTTGACCGCCACATCAGCAAAAGTAAACGGAGACTAACGGCTAGTGACCAAACTTGAACTGCTAACCTAATTTAAGTGACTACGGATGGAATAAATTAATTTTAGTGGCAAACATGAAATTTTTAAGTAATTCTAGTGACCAAACTTGCAATTTAGCCGTAAAGTTATTAAGAGAATTGAGAGGAAGAGAGATTGTAATCGCTCTACGGGTTTAATTGTTTCAAATCGCATTTGCGTGGAGGAAGGTCCCGACAAGTCCATTCCAACTATGCAATGAACATGCTAAATTTTGCTCATTGAATATCAAGGGAAGAGAATTACAATCAAATTAGTGCTTAGAAGCCAGTACCAAATACCAATCATTCCAGAGATGGCGCTAAATCAGTAGGCATCTCGCTAGACATCGGGACGAAATCGATGTGCAGGGTTATCGCTGTAGCACCAAACTAAGACAATCATTCAGAGAAACAGATACCTTCAACAAACCACACCACCATACATGCCACAACTGCATCATATTGCTCCAGGGAATCACCCTACCAGAATGATAGAAGTTCTTTTCAGATTCTGGGTCACTACAAGGAATTTGACAATCATGGACCGAAAACCTTGAGGACAGGCAATCCAACAAACCGGTTAGGCGTCTGACCAACAACATATGATGGAAGTGGAACCATAGGGAACATCTAAGTCTCATTGACAGGCAAAAAGCTGAAAACGTGCTCTACCAAGGAGACCCACTCTCGCCTCTCCTCTTCATCCTCATGTCAAACGCACTCTCCTTCCTGATTGAGAAAGCGACAAAAAGTCATGTCATCTGAGGACTTCAGCTTAATCGTAACTGCCCCAACCTCACGCACTGCCTCTTCGCGGAAGACACAGTGATCTTTGGGGAAGCATCTACGGCTGAAGCGGTCAGTATTTTGAAGATTATACTAGAGTACGGGGCAATCACAGGACAGGAAGTGAACAAGGAAAAGTCATCTACCTTCTTCAGCAGCAATGTGAGACCTAAGGAAAAAGAAAGTATCTCCAGAAACATTGGGTTCTCGGATTCCAGTGGCCACTCCAAATATCTGGGGGTGCCAACTGAATGGGGAAGATCGAAGGTTGAGACTTTTAGCTTCCTCATACAACGTTTGGAAAACAAAAGCGAATCATGGAAAAGTCTCTTACTCTCGCCAGGAGGAAAGGAAACGCTTCTGAAAGCAGTTTTCCAAGCCCTCCCCTCCTACATTATGTGCCTGTTCCTGCTCCCCAGAACGGCAACGAGGAAAATGGACTCGATGCTTAGGAGATTCTTCTGGGGAGGTTCGGCTCACAAGAAGACCATCCATTGGAGAGACGGCAGTGTACTTTATGCCCCAAAGGAAGAGGGAGGCATCGGATTCAGACCATTCCATGAATTTAACCTGGCCCTGCTGGCCAAACAATGTTGGAGGATTCTCCATAATCCTAACACTATCTAGGTCAAGTTGCTCAAAGGTCTTTACTTTCCCAAGTCGGATTTCCTGTCGGCAAAGAAAGGTGGGAAAGCATCGTGGATCTGGTCCAGCATCTAGGAAGCAAAAGGCTGGATGGAACAAGGTCTTATTCGAGTCATTGGGAACGGAAGAACAACTAAAGCCTTCCAAGACCCCTGGTTGTTTGATCGGCCAGGACCGCTCCTTCAGCAAAGATCCTCCTTCCCGGGATCGGTCGATGGGTGGATTGATGAGGTTAACAGAACCTGGAAGTTCGACTTACTTGGAGAGTTCTTTCCGCCACAAGCTTTGCAGCAGATCGCAAGCACGCCGATTGGACCTGCCTCAATGGAAGATTTTTGGCCTGGAGGTTTTCCGATAGGGGCTCCTTCACGGTCAAATCTGCGTTCCATTGTTTCCACAATCATTCCAGACGTGCACAAGGAGCATCCCAGTCAGTCATCAATCAGAACAAAGATGTGTGAAAATGGCTGTGGAATTTGTCTATCCCTCCAAAGATGAAAATTTTTCTTTGGAGATGCTGCAGAGGAGCCTTGGCCACTAAAGACAATCTTCACTCCCGACGTTGCTCTCAGTCAAAGGAGTGCTCGCTGTGCGCAGAGCCTGTCGAGTCCATCCACCACTGTTTGTTTGAGTGCCCTCATGCAGCGGAAGGCTGGAGAGCTGAATGGCCCTCTCTGATCGTCCCTCCCCGCTCCATCGAAATTCTTCACTGGATCTTCGCCATTGGTCAAAGGTACCCGCCCCAATCAATCCAAAAGATCATCTTTCTTCTATGGCTTACTTGGAAAACAAGGAACGAATTTCTTTTCAAGAACCGTGCTTTGTGGCCTCCGACGACTGTTGCAAATGCCCAAAGAAGCTTCCACCAGTGGAGTGTGTGTCCTTTGAAAAAGAGATCCACTCCTCCTTCATCGCAGCCTGTTCCATCTCCGGAGCTCCCTTCTCCACCGCCAAGTACTCATGATTTTGAGATACACTGTGACGGATCGTTCTTACACGATTCCCAGGAGACGGCTTATGGCGTTGTTGTGACAAATCGCCATGGACAAGTGTGCAACGGGAAGGCTGAGATCCTACAGTGTTTTTCCCCACTTGAGGCAGAAGCAAAGACCCTTCTTGAGGGAACTCGATTGACAGACTCCATTGGAGGGACTTGTCTGATCAGATCGGACTGTTTTGATCTTGTCAAAGCAACTAAAGAACATTCGAAGGAATGGCCTTGGCGTGCGGCTGCTTGGATTGGTCTGATCAAACAAATGTGTGGGGCTAACCCACGGATCCGAATCGAGTTTCTCAGCAGGAAGCTTAACACCAAAGCTGACTGGGTTGCTAAATCCTGTGTTAGGAACCAGCTTCCCCCTGAATGGATCAATATTTTGGATGTTATTGCACCACTGTTGTAATCCTTGGCTTGTGCCACAAGTAATGAAAAGCATTGTCTTACTGTAAATAAATTAAAAAAAAAATAGGGGGGTCACAAAGACGAACAGTAGGACCTAACCTGCAATTGAAGTTCAGAGAAAATGAGACTATCCAACTACAAATTTGACATTTGTGCAGCAGCCCTCAACACCTAGATTGCAAATTTTTAAAAACCATTTATGTATCGAGTCTTGGCGTACAAAACAAAATGAGAGACAAATTACTAAAATCGTGCTCAATCAGCAGCCATGACCTGGGAATACTTGTTCTATCCCATAGTCAATAGTAACACCTTATCAGCGAAATATCAGAACAGCAAAAATGCTCACTTGCAAATGTTTACCAACTTGCGGCTTCAACGTAGGGAACAAAGGACCTAGCGGAGTTACATATCCATCGTATAAGCATCAGCCAACAGGAAAAGATATTGAATGACTACAAACCTGACTGTTATTTGATCGAAGACAAAGTCATAGCAAAAGCCGCTACTGTACTGGGAAAAAACTCAAATTTTTATATGGGCCAACAAACAGAACCCCACAAAACTTTGCTCAGGTCTCAAGGAAGTGCTGTTTATTCTTTCTTGTCAAATGAAACCCATACATTATAGGGCATGGAAGAAGAGAATTCACCCGTTCTTTAACACCTCCTTTCTCTCTAGCTTTAGTCCTCCTTAGACGTCAAGAAGCAGCCTGCGAGGATCCTCCACCACATCCTTGATGCGGCGCAAGAAGAACACAGCCTCTCTCCCGTCAATCAGCCTATGGTCATAGGTGAGAGCAACGTACATCATCGGCCTTGGGAGAACATTGCCTCCAACAACCACTGGGCGGCTCACAATCGAGTGCATCCCCAATATTGCAGACTGCCAAATCAAAGAGCAAACATGAGAACATCGACCACAAAAGGGATGAAGTTAGTTAGCTGAGTATATGAATATGAAATCTTCACAACAAATATAATCTAATCTTTCTACTTTTCCAAGTTCAAAGACGGAACCTGAGGAGGGTTGATGATGGGAGTACTCAAAAGGCTTCCATAAACACCACCATTAGATATGGTAAATGAACCTCCTGCCATCTCATCAATTGAAATGGTTCCATCATTTGCTTTCTTAGCAAGAGTATTAATCTCCTTCTCAATATCAGCAAAATTCATCCTGTCCGCATTGCGAATTACTGGCACAACAAGACCCTGGTAGAACCCCAAGCACAAAAATAACATCAACAGCCAGTGACAGGGATCTGTGAACAAATAGAGCTTTCACAAGTAGATTAAAGGCTATAGAATATTTCTTGCGTAATTATAAATTAGCAAGAACCTCTGATATAGATCATCAACCAGCAACATATAACCCTTCTAATGAGACCTAAGTGCACTTCTCTACGTAAATTACAAATTACAAAGAAATCTAGCCAGCATGCATAGAGTACTTAGAAGGTGAAAGATTTGACATAGCATAAATAAACCTACGATCACTATGTCTGGCCATGTGAGAGAAGCAAGTTTTTCACGAGGATCATATTTCTCAAACATTTACTTCTCGGCTCTCCCAATACCAGCTTATAATGTAGGCGCCCACTATAATGAAGAAAGAATGTATTAACTCTGCAGTGCCCCATAATGAAGAAAATTTTTAAGTGCTCCAGGCTGGAGCAATATCAAGAAGCATCACCCTATGAAGAATCTAAAACACTGTAAAGTATACAGAACAACAGTTAGTCAATTAAGAAGATGAAGACATACCTTTGGAGTCCCAACAGCTATACTAATGTCTACGTAATCCCTATATATGATATCATCCCCATCGATGACTGCATTTACAACAGGCTGATGCTGGAGTGCGGAGACTGCAGCCTGAAATATTCCAGAAACAATAGAAGTCGTAAGAAAGTGGAACATATTGGGGTAATATATGCTTGAAGAAATTATCAAATTCTTGCCTTGATGAACCCAGACATAAGCCCCAACTTCACACCATGCTTTTCATAAAAAGCATCCTTGTACTCGGAGCGAAGCTTCATCAAATTAGTCCTACAATAAGAAGTCCAAGTTTAACAGGAATTCCGGTTGAAAAGTGAAAACAGGGATGGATGCATGGAGTCAATGCTGAAGTGTCTGTGGAAAGTGTTGCATGGAGAGCTTGATCTTTATGTAGAAGGAAAACTAGATAAAATTTTCCTGGATATTTGGAAGTTGAGGGATATACCCTCACATTACCCTACAGTAGGAGGAAGGTCATACAAAGCCATCGGTTGATTTTGACTTTGAACAGGGTAGGAAAGTGGGGAAGCTAGTGTGCACGCACGCAGGATACTCAACAAAAGCAAGAAAAAAATTAAACAACCATGCACCATAAAATAGAACAAGCATTCGGTCCTACATTTTCACACTTAGATAAGACACTATCTGACACACTTTCGTTACAATCTTAAGTCAAGGATCTCTCTACTCCCAAGAGATGCAGCTAGACTAACCAAGAATGAAAATCAGACAGCTTCAGTCAACAAATTTATTGATTCAGTAAACTAAACCGACTCACATATCAACTTCATTGAATGTTGTCAGCAACGCAAAAGTATTTTGCGAGTCCTTCAATCGGGTCGCAACTCTTTTGCGAAGCCTTGTCATTGGAACCTGAATACATAGAAGACAAAGAAACAATGTCACTAGCGTCAGATACTTCCACTTCTGGTCATCACCAGGAAAACTAAATGCAAAATGAACCAAGGCAAACAACTTACACGTCTTTCTCTGTCCTTGGGGGGAAGTTGAGGTTCTGAAGCAGTTTGTTTAGGAGTTGATGCAGCCGCAGTTGATTTCTTGGGCTTCTCTGCAGCAACCTCAGGTTTAGGTGTCTGCTTTACCTCTTCTTTCTTTTCAGATGGCTTTGGAGCAGCTTTCTCGGGTATTTTTTCAGATGGAGCAACATGAGCCGCTTCACCAGACTTTGAAATGATAGCAACCTTGGTTCCTGGCTCCACAGTATCTCCTTCTTTCACAACAAACTATATTACAGGAAACAAACATTAATTCCATAATCTAGTAATCCAACTGAATGTTCCATTATTGACAACTGGAAAATACAAAGATGTAATACCTCTTTTATCACACCTGCTTCCGGACTAGCAACATCAATTGTCACCTGCACAAGCATATATGCTATCAGCATTCCAATGCAAAATTTCAGTTCCTATCAGACAGAACAAAGAAACTAAGAACAAACTAGAGCACAATACCTTATCTGTCTCGATTTGTGCAATGGGTTCATCAACTTCCACCCTATCACCAGGTTCTGCAAACAACAAGTAATCAGGAACAAGTCTCACATGCAATGAACTTACCAACCGAGACATATAAGTTCAAGACTAAGAAAAACATACTCTTCAAGAATGTAGCCAGAGTGCCATCAGTAATAGATTCACCCATGAAAGGTACAACAGCCTCAACCAAATCCGCTGAAGAAAATAATCAATAAAATAATGTCAGAAGAACTCAGGTGAACCATAAATTTTTCTTGAACATTGAGAAAGCAGAAAGATAAAGATATAACTTCGGCATCTACTTCAAAACTTAAAAAGTTTTGTTCTGGCTATGGAAAGTCGACAGCACTAATGCACAGTTACCTCATTAAGAAACAGACGTTGCACAATTCAGGGCAATACTGTGTTCCCATCAGTTTACCATATACGACACTATAATGAAGGATATTACTGGCTCAACATAAAATTAACGAATGCCTAACCAGATGGCAAAAGAATCAGAAAGGGAGGAGTCAAGTTCAAACCACTATCAGACGAAAAGCCCTTGCTCCAAATTTGCTTAGTGCCCGTCAGGTCTATGGTTGAAAAAACATCCCTGCATTCAAGAACTCAACAATTCAGTAATGAACTAAATTAGACTAAACAGAAACTCAAGAATATAAATCACGATCAGCATCCATTGTCTATATCATTTACCTGGCAAATCTCATTGTACTGAGGCAGCATAACCTATTGACATCTAAATTATCAAGGAGATCGATCCACTTCATATGGATTTTCTATCCAGATATTTAAGCACTTACTAACGAGCACCACATTGGTTTTCTTTTCTTACACATGTATAAGTAATTTATTTGAAATAGTAGCACTGGAGCTAACAATAGATACACAAAGCCACAGGGTATAAGGGTTCTTGCTTTCGAACAGCATGACACAGAACAAGTTCCCAAAGTTAAGTGTTATCATGATCTTTCCACAACTCAACGCATTCAGAATTTATAATCATGACACAGCACTAAATACCAAAGTTGACAGTGTCTCTAACCTTTTGGGCGTCAAACTAACTGTAGAACCTGTAACAGTAAGAAAATTTCACATTCAGCATCCATCAAAGAACCATCAGCCAAGAGAAAACTTGAGAAAATATTACCTGGCAAAACAAGGCGACTATAATTCCGGACATGTCCAATGCCTCTTGGAGCAAGTAAAACCTGTTAACATGGTTTCATATCAGAACCTTTCATACTGCCTTTCCTTTTCCAAAGCAAAGATATGGATTCATTCAGTCCTAGGGAGAAGCAAGAGACCCAATCACATGATTCAATAATCACTAAATCCCGACCCCCGGTCCCTAACATGGCATTCAATTACTCGACGTCAACAAGAAAAATGTTCATTCCTTGAACGGATATAGGCAACAAAGATTATCTACCTTATAAGTCTCCAAGAATTTAGAAAAGAACAAAATTGTACAGAACCAACTAGTACCTCTGTCTCAGCGACAGAAGCGGCTCTAGGCGTAGATGCTGCAGCTCGAACGTTCTGCAAAGACTGCTTCAATATCTGACGACAACAGCAAAAAAAAACGAAATTTCCAAGATTCACAAAATATCGATTGAACTCCAAGTACCGGAAGAACGTCACATAAGATACAAAGGAACCCATATAGAATGAAATAAGAAGAAGATGTCGAATGTCCTAACCGAAGAAGATGCGCCACCAGAAGCGACTCTCCTCTTGAGAACGCCCAACATCATAGCTTCGATCTCTGCTTCAACAATCAGAAGAAACGAATAGACTCTTCAAACAAAATTCTCACCAAGCAGAATCCATCATAACCCATAAAGCAAACAGAACCAAAAAGGTTTTCGGACGCAAAACGCACGCAACGCATAATCTTCAACATAAAAAGGGATCGCACGAATGATTCGGAAAATGCAGAGGGAGCACGTACCTGTTAGGAGCCGATGGACGGCGGGTCTTTGACCGGAGGGAATCGAGAGGAATACGGAAAGGCTTGATGCCGAACGGCAAGTAGGGTTTCCCTTTTGGGGGCACAGAGACAGAGAGACGAGGAGAAAATGGAAAGGGAGACGGTGGGGGAAAGGTCAGAGCCGCGAAGCCTTGATTCTGAGCATGTTCCATCCCTGTGTTGTGTAGACAGTTCATAGGCCTTGCGAGTTGGATACGTGGCATTCTCTCATTCGTTGAATTATTATATTGTTTTAAGACCATAATTCATGGTTGACCGATTTTATTTTTCGCCCTTCCATCGTTATGTTATTGTTTTTTTTTTTTACAAAGAATCGTTATGTTATTGTTGGGTCAAGATTTTGAGGAAAGTGACTAGTAAAAACATTTATGCAGATTGTGAAATTGCAATTGAAGTTGCACCGATAAAGTATATATTTGGATATTTGTACCGTAAAAATTGTGGTTTAACTGTAATTTAACAGGTTTAAATTGCTAAAAAAATATCTGAATTGCTATTCGTAGCCCTAAGATTAAAAAAAAATCGCCCTAAACTACACTGAATTGACACATATACCCCTGACTTCAAACCTAAACTACAATATGTCCCCAACTCCAAACCCGATTCTCAAAATCTCGCAAAAAATCTGTCGTCCATCCATTCTTACTCTCCGCCACCGCCGCCGCCAGGGTCACTCCCCGCCGCTGCTATTCGTCGTTGCTGTCAACCAGGAGGAGTTCGTCTAGGGTTAGGTTGACATTGTCGAGAAGCTTGCCATCGTGGATCAAGTGGTAGTCTGATCGCTGGGCTCGTCCGTGATTGAAATTGTTCCTCCGCGAGATTGGATTTCGGATATGAGTACGGCGATGGTGTCCCACAACGTGGAGGGTGAAATTAGGATTTGCTGTGATTATAGGTTTACGAATATTTGCATCTCTTCCTGTCTTTTTTGGTATTCCGAGCAGCAAAGTGATGGAACGAAAGATGTGTGGTGGCGGTGACCGTGGCTAGAAACTTTAAATCCTTGATCTCCATGGAGAAATTGATCTTTGCGGTGAGAAAATAAATGCTAGGAATATATTATATACGAAAATTAATTAAACACATTAATCATTTTAAGAGATATTAAAAATAAATCAAGGGTATTAGAGTAAATTTAACTAAATTAGGGCGACGAATAAGGATTTTTAGGGCGACGAATAGCAATCCCCAAAAATATTTATTGATTTAGCATCTTGTATAACAAAAAATTCGATTTGATCACTGATATAATATAGTTTTACAAACCATGCATATATGTGACATATATTTAGTAATGCTCCAAAAAAGAACATTATGTCATGTAACCACATAAATTTAGGCTAGAGACATCCAATTAGTAATGGCAACATAGTTAGATTGCGCTCATTGGGTAATTTGATATTCATATTCACCCCATGATAGGTTGCCTTCAAATCAAGTACTTTGGTTCAAGACATAGTTCGAGGTTAGTCGATCAATTAGAATATGCATTTCAACAAGAAGTCAATTATTCATTAAAAACTCAATAACTAAAGATCATATAATTAATAAGTCAAATTGATTTTGGAAATTGAGCCTCTTACATAATGATAACTATATTGGAGTCGAAAGTCTTGTCACATACCTTGGCTTCATTCAACTTTTTTTTGGGGACAAAAGATAGCTTGTATTACCAAGAATCAAAGATCACAAACGGTTACATCTCCGAATGGAGCCAAACGCAAAAATCAAACCCCCGATAAGAGTAGGATACAAAGAAAGGGCCTTCCTAGCCACCCTATGGGCTACCCTATTGTTATCCCTACCTACAAATCGGAGAACATCCACATCCACCGCAGCCAACAAGCCCTGGACTTCCTGCAACACTGCACCTCCATAGCAATCCCACGTACTGCCGGCCAAAATCTTGTCGATAACTACCTTAGCATCCCCCTGGTAGCACACACCTTGCACACCCATCGACCGACACCACAAGATTTCCTCACGGAGAGCCAGGCAACTCCACCAGCATTGGATCCGTAATCTCCGCCCATCCCTTTCCCAAAGCTCTAACCACCACCCCATCCGGCCCTTGAAGAACAATCCCCACAGCATAGTGCGATGCCTGACGCACTACTCCATCAAAGGAGCACACCCAAGGCACCCCCGGAGGGGGCCGAAGTGGGTCCAAAGGCAGCATCCGTCTCTGCGCTTGAAGTCTGACCTCTGCCATCCTCGTCATCTGCTGCCATTCCTCAACCTGAACTAACCACTGGTTACGCAAAACCTCCCTAGTATATTGGCATCCCTCAAACACCACCCAGTTGCGAGATTTCCACACCCGCCACAGCAGAGAGACAAAACACATAATAACCACCTCATTTGTCACCTTCTCCAGCAGCCGCCGAACAAATAGCCCCACGTTCTCCTCCAGGAGCCCAGCCCAGATATCCACCAGCCCTGACTCTGCCCATAACTCCTTAGCCACAGGACATTGTAGGAATAAATGCTCTAGGGTTTCCACCTCATGCCAACACACCAGGCATCGCTCCAGCACCTCAATCTCTCGAGCAATAAAGGCCTCCGTCGTCGGCAAGATCCTGCTCATGACCTGCCACATAAAAAACCTGAGCTTCGGCGGAATCTCAAGATTCCACAACTTCCTCCACAAGGCAGAATCCATCCAAGATGGCTCAGACTTCCCCTTCCATCGGCTCCTGTTCAACCTCATCGCCAAATGATATCCGGACTTAACCGTATAATCCCCTGTTCGGTCCTCATGCCAGATCAGCTTGTCTCGGACAGGAAACCGTGGAAGAACAATCGATTTAATCGCCCTCACGACCTCAGGGGAAAAACAATTGGCCAAGCAATCATCACACCATGTCCCCGGTTCTTCCCCCATCAGACCGGCCACCGTAGCACCCTCCCAAAGATGAGCCGAGGGCAACACCATCGGAGGATTAGGATGACACCCCGGGACCCAATTTGCTGTCATAATCTCCACCTCCTCCCCCGACCCTACTTGCCATCGCAGGCCTGCCTTCAACAGCTGTACCCCATGCAAGACGCTCTGCCACCCCCAAGACGGTCTGTCGCCGCCAGAAGCATTCCGTTCGGATAATATTTCCCTTTATAGATTCGAGCAAGCAACGAGTCCGGGTCCTGAATAATCCGCCATCCAACCTTCGCAAGTAGAGCTTGATTAAATTGCTCAAAATGACGGAAACCCAATCCCCCATCTTGCTTACTTCAACACAATTTTCTCCATGACATCCAATGAATTCTGTCAATCGCACCACCCCACCAGAAGCGAGCCATATACTTATCAAGGCGACGACAAAGCGTCACCGGAATCTTAAAACATGCCATAACATAGACAGGCAATGCCGCCGCCACCGACTTTAACAGAGTCTCCTTCGCCGCCCAGGATAAGTGCCGCTGCTTCCATCCTTGCAACTTCTGCAAAAGCTTCTCCTCCAGGAAGCGGAAAGTTTCAGACTTCGAACGAGCAATTAAGGTGGGCAGTCCTAGGTACTTATCCTGGACCCCCATAGCCCCAACCCCCAATCGAGCTGCCATAGTCTCACAATCCTCCTGGAGAACATTGCGACTAAAGCAAGCCGCAGACTTATCCAAATTGACCCGTTGACCGCTCAATTCCTCATATTCTCCCAATACTTGGAGCAGATTCTCACACTGTTGCATCGAAGCTTGCACAAACATATATGAATCATCCGCGAAGAATAAATTAGACACCCTAGGTGCTTGCGGGCTAACCCGCACACCCGTTAACCGCCTTTTCCAACAACGCTTTTTTAATCAATGCAGTCAATCCCTCCGTACACAGAACAAACAGCAGGGGGGACAGCGGATCCCCCTATCGCAGGCCCCGGGATGACCGAAAATACCCTGCAGGCATTCCATTCATCATGACGGAGTAGGATGATGACGAAATACATTCATGAATCCACTTGACCCACTGCTCCCCAAACCCCAGCTTCTTCAAGAGCGAAAGTAAGAACGGCCACTTGACCCTGTCATAGGCCATTTCCATATCAACCTTTAGTGCCATGTAGCCCTTCTTCCCTTTCGTCTTAACTTTAAGATAGTGCATGATTTCATGCCCAATCAGAACGTTATCAACAATCTGTCTCTCCTTGATAAAAGCATTTTGCTCAGGAGAGACAACTGTTGGTAACACCATCGCAAGTCGATTTGCTAAGATCTTCGAGATAATCTTATAAATGACTTGGCATAGGCTGATCGGCCTTAATTGGCGCATCGTCTCTACTTCTTCCACTTTAGGAATTAACGTAATCCACGTGTGATTAAAGCTTCGGAGAAGTTTTCCATTCGCAAAGAAAGACCCCACCGCCTCCACCACCAAGGGCCCTACTATATCCCAATACGACCGAAAGAATTTTGCCGTGAACCCATCAGACCCTGGCGCTTGCGTCGGCCCAATCGAAAAAACCGTACGCCGGATCTCGTCGGCCGAGACAGGGGCAACCAGCTTCTGGTTCATATCGATCGTGACCAGCCTCTCAATAGGCAGCGCCGCCACCCTAGCATCCACATCCCCAATCTGGAGTTCAGACGTAAACAGATTATCAAAAAACTCGACCGCCATTTTAGCCTTAACCGGCTCTTCCTCGACCCATCCACCGTCCTTGCTACGGAGTTTGGCGATAAAATTCTTCCTCCGGCTAGTTCGCGTGACCGTATGAAAATACGAAGAATTTCTATCCCCTTCCTTCAACCAGCGAACCCGAGACTTTTGCTTCCAGAATAACTCCTCCGCTGTCCATTGTCTTCCTAATTCCCCCTCCAGCTCCCTTATCTTATCCCAATCCACCGGATTAGCCCTCCTGACCGCCTCAATCTCCTCTTGGAGAGTCCGAATATTCCTTGCTGAATTAGACACCCCAGCACGGGCCCAATCATACAGCATATGTCGGACTTTCTTAAGCTTCGTCCACAGTTTATACATGGGCGACCCCGCCTCCTCCTACGCCCAAACATAATTGACCATCAAGCGCACCTCCGGGTTTTCCACCCATCGGGCATAGAATCGGAACAAACGTCGGGCCGTTCTCTTAAACGGTTTATCAGCCACTATGAGCACCCGATGATCGGATCCAATATCCGTACAATGGAGAACAATCGTGTCCGGGAAGGACTCCACCCAGCCTGCAGAGCCTAACGCACGATCCAGCCATTTTTACACACACGCGGGCCCCATCCGCTTATTCGTCCAAGTGAACAAAGGTCCCTGAAACCCAAGGTTCCGCAAAGCCAGCGCATCAACAAAATCACGAAAATCCTGGGACTGGGCAGGGGTCCACGGCACCCCTCCATCCTTCTCATTAGAGGACAAAATCGAGTTGAAATCCCCCATGATGATAAAAGGTTCTGAGATCCCCTGACAATGAACACGAAGGGCCTCCAACTGCCCTCTACGCACTGCTTCAACGCAACTAATGTAAACACACACCACCACATACGGAATTTCCATATTATTAATCCGAATAGAAATAAAAAAAGAAGAACTAGACAAAACCGAGGCACAAATGCTCGGGGACCACCCTACCGCTAGGCCGCCAGACATATCAACGACATCAACAAGAAAACAAGAATCTAAATCAAAACCTAACCCTCGCATACGACGAGTGACAACTTTTCGACGAGATCTGGTCTCCGACAAGAATACCAAATCCGGATTAATAACTCTAACTAATCCTAACAGCGATTGGAACGTGAGGGATGACCCAATCCCTCTCACGTTCCACGAAAAAAGTCTCATTTAATCAATTGGGGTCATTTCGGGCTGGCTACCTCCACCGTCTCTCCTGGCTCCTCGCCTGACTTTTCCGCGCAAATTTTCTTTGTCGGTGTCGGATCCCGCGGAAGATCCTCCACCATGTCCGCTGATCTCTTTCTATCCTCTAGCTCCTCATCCGCAATCGCCATCCTGAAAACCTCCAATAGCTTGGACAAGTTAGATCCATATTCATTAGCCACCTTTGTGGCCGCATCAAGCACCATGGGACTCTCGCCCCCATCTTGCTTCTCCGACACCATCGCGACCTGTTCTCCACTTTGTTTTCCAGTCGTTTTCTCCAAGGCCTTTTTGTCAACCAGCATCGCATCCCCACACCCGACCAAAGGCGATGGGCCGCCTTCCTTAGCCCCAAGGCCTGCCACCACCTCCGGCCCCATATCCAGGTGCCCATCAATCGTCATCCCCCCATCTCGCGAAAACCCTTCTGCTGTTTTCCCAGGTCGGCACCGCGACCCTCGCCATCTCCCTCTTCCCGCCTTTCCCTCCGCCCTTTGCTCCTTCCCCCATCTCCTTCACCGCCATTTCAGCTCGCCCCCCATTGGTCGATGGGTGCATCCCGCAAGCACTGGAGGCTGGGGCCTTGGGCTGCCTTTCCATCTTCAGGCGACTCCCTGTCTCCTCCGCCTGAGACCCATGGCCAGTCTTCTAGGAGCCAGTTGTTCCCCTCTGCCGATTCGTTTCTCGGCTCCCCGCACCCTGGATCTTCCCCTGCGAGCCTTTTGGATCGCGTTCTCCCCCTGCAGGTACTGCAAAGACCGTCTCCCGCCAAACCCCCTTCTCCTCCAGTTTCCGTTTCTCACCGCGAGCCATCACCGAACTAACAGCCAGATGCCCCTTAGTTTTGGGATTAACCTACACAGACTACGGCAGCGGCGGGGCATTGAATTGGGCCGCTTTGAGTGTCTCTTCGTTGAGATGAAAACCCACCTCAGTAGTCACCATTTCTTGACTGTACCTCTCTTCTCCAATCGGCGCTGGGTACACGCAATTTCTTTCCATATGCCCCAACCTGCCACAATGAAAGCAGAATAGGGGGAGGAACTCATAGGCGAAAGTCACCCAGAACTTTCCAGCAACGTCATTGCTCGCCCAGACTTGCGATCGCAGCGGCTCTAGAACATTGATCTTCACCCGAGCTTTAACGAACTAATCCGATTCTCCTTTGATGCCGAACAGTCCAACATCAAGCACCTCGCCCAGCTTCATCTCCGCAACCCTTCTCCCAAATGCGATAGTGCGGCAGTGAGATGGGATTCCCCACATCTGCACCCCGAATGGCGCAAATCCTAGGGATTCAAACACCTCCTCCGTAACCGGTGCCCATCGCTGGAGCTGCAGAACCTGATCCTTCACCGGCCAGGGCGTACGCTTCAAAACCCATTCCATATCCTCCGCATCATCGAACAAGAATTGGAGCAGCCCCATCTCCGCCTCCAACACCTGCACCTTCTTCCGGCATTCCCACGCATTCGTTACAATCTTGTGAATAATCGAGAGGCTCGGTCGGTTCTCAATGAAGAGTCTCCCCAGCAGGCTCATCTTCGCCCTCTGCATGCTCACAGCAACATCTTTAGTGGAAAATTCCACTATTTGGTCTTGGCAAATGCTCGAGTCCGCCATTGTACACAGTTCCTGCTGCTCGAGGTTGTTCTTCGGCTTCGAGGCACCCACACTCAATCGCACTGAGAAGGTAAGCACTCGGCCAAACCTTAATCTCTGTAAGCAGTTCACCAGCCAACCCTTGTATCTTTTTTGTACGAATAGGTTGCTGTACATTTCGGCCAAATTTAAAGGGACTCCTAGAGTCCTTTCCCAAGTAGGGAACCGAGTAGAATCCTGGAGGATAACCACCGGGTTTACTTGTGTAACAGAAAAACACATGGATTTGTCTTTATCATCATCCCAACCCCCCCAACTGATTTCGGTTGAGATATATCTTCTTCCGGATTTCAAAATTAAAACTCTCAATATTATCAATATCCCCATCAAATCGGATACTGCGGATTCTCCGCCAACCGCTCCACGTCAGCTCCAGAGCCCGATCACCACCGCCGGTCACCGGAGTTGTCCTCTGGTCGTCAATCCGGCCCCATACCCCATCAGGGTGTACAGTTGATCGCCGGTTTTGAAACTTACTTCTAACTAATGACATGACATTTGTTTTCCAACGGCACCATTTCCGGTCCCTAACCTCCTTTCGAGGATCACTAGCCTGCCCAAATCGAGCATCAGTCATCAAAATCTCCCCGCCCCGTGCATCTTCCAGCCAGCGTTGCTTCGCCGCCGTGCGCAGCATAGGGCCATCGATGTGCCAGAACTCAGCCCACAGCTTCAACACTCCTTCCCAAAGCCATCTCACCCAACGCACCATCATCGCTAAGCCCTCCATGGCTTCATCCTTCGAAAACCAAATGGAGGCGATGAGGAAACTTGCCCCGAGTGTTCCTACGATTTTCCATAGGAGAGAGGGCAGAGCATTCACCATTTTTGAGTAATTTGGTGTTTACTAGTTTTGCCAGCTTCATTCAACTTCAATGTCATTAAAATGTTTTTTTTTCTTTTATTACACAAATTCCTAGTCGATTCTTATTGTATCATGGCCTTTTTTAAAAACTCGGAATAGGGGGCGGATAGGTCGGTAACTTTTATGGTGAGTAACCATCAGTAACCTATCCACATTCGCATGACGTCAGCATACCCTCTCGCCTGGAAAGTCTTTTATTTTTTCCCATTTAATCTTTAACAGACGATTTATCTCTCGTTTTAAGTCAAAATTTAATTTTCTTTTTGCACAGATAAATAAGATTAAATGTGCTTTTTAAATGATATCCACTTTGATATATTTTTAGTACAAAAAAATTGAGGGTTAATTGCAATGATGGTCACTGGGTTTACTAAAACCGTTCATGTTTGGTCACTGCAAATATTTAATTACATTCATGGTCACTAAGATTAGTTCAATAGTTCAAGTTTGGTCACTCTCCTTTAGTCTCCGTTAGTTTTTGCTAATGTGGCAGTCAACTATTATAGTTGACCGTTAAATGAGTGACGTGGCCATTAAAAAAATAATAAAATTTAAATATTTACAATTTCCACATCATTTTACAACTATTAAAAAATAAAAATAAAACTTACCTCCGCCATCTACGCCACCATGGCCATGACGCGATCGTCTCCACTGCCGGCCTCGCTTTGCTTCCTCAACGCCGGCCATGTTTGCATCGGCAAAGAACGGACGGACCCGATCCATTCCTCCCGCTTAAAGTCTGCCCATCTCCCCACCGTCCGATCCCCAAAAAACCCAGACGCACCCTCTTTCTCTCTCCTTTCTTTATCATCATCAACAATCAGCGACACAAATTTCCCAGATTTCCCCTCTGTCTCTCTGTCTCTCACTCTGTCTCCGATAACAATTTCCACACGCAGAGATAATATTCCCAGGGACGAGAAGCAGCCACGGAGGAGTAGAGTAGAGTCAATTCCAGCGACGGAGGAGGTGGCACGGCGGGGGAGGGCGGGATTATGCTGTTCGGGGTTCGAGTCACAGGGGACGAACTCGTTCAGGAAGAGCGTGAGCATGAACAACCTGTCACAGTACGATCAGGGGAATCAGGACCCCTTCGTCGCCGACGCCGTTGCGTCCGGGTACGAGTCCGACGATGTCGTTCACGCCTCCGGACGGAGCCGCGAGCACAAACGAGGTAATTGGGTTTTCATAAAAAATTTTCTCGAAATTAGTATAAGAGATGCAATTTGGTGGGGGGGGGGGATTTTAATAAAAATTGGGGATTGGATTGTTTGATTGGTTTTGCAGGGGTGTCGTGGACCGAGGAGGAACACAGGTTGTTTCTGGTGGGGCTACAGAAAATTGGGAAAGGCGATTGAAGAGGGATTTCGAGGAATTTCGTCAAGATCCGGACGCCGACCCAGGTGGCCAGTCACGCTCAGAAGTACTTCCTCCGCAAGAACAATCACAATCGCCGGCGACGCCGCTCTAGTCTCTTCGACATCACTACCGACAACACTGTAAGCATAGTTGTTGCTATTATTTACATATATAGTTTCTGGAAAAGTTGGCGAATTGATTAGTTATGTATCTGTTTACACAGTTTGCCGGCAATTCTATTACGGAAGTGGAAGACCAGCAGACATCGCCCAATCAAGAAACGGCGGCGCTAGCGGTGGTTCCGATGAAGACCAGCAACCAACTGCAGCTGGGGAAGCTTCCACCAGTTCATAATTTCCAGGTGGCTATACCAATCACCGGGGACGGGTCATTCGAGAGACTGACGCTAGGACCACCGACGAGTACAGCGAAACACAACAAGTTGGTTCGTCCAATCCCAATTCCGCTGTCTTCCAAGGTGGCGGCCGATCTCAATTGGAACCATAAGATGATGAGCAGTACTAACCATTCCGGCGGTGAGGAAGGAGCGGCGGCGGAGACGATCGCGTCATGGCCAGGGTGGCGTAGATGGCGGAGGTAAGTTTTATTTTTTAATAGTTGTAAAACGAGGTGGAAATTATAAATATTTATATTTTATTATTTTATTATTTTTTTAATGGCCACGTCACTCATTTAACGGTCAACTATAATAGTTTGACTGCCACATTAGCAAAAACTAACGGAGACTAACGGAGAGTGACCAAACTTGAACTATTGAACTAATCTTAGTGACCATGAATGGAATTAAATATTTGCAGTGACCAAACATGAACGATTTTAGTAAACCCAGTGACCATCCTTGCAATTAACCCAAAAAATTGAATGATTTTTTACGAGTCATAACCATATGGTATGCTCATATTTAATACCATATGGTAAGAAAGCGTACCATGATGGTACGAACACACCAATATGGTAAGAAGGTTGAATACATGATAGTAGGAGTATACTAACTGTCATTTACGACTTTCATCATTGTTTACCACAAGTTACCACACACATACCATAGTGGTAAAGTATGTTAATTTTTGGTCCAGTATTTTTTTCACCCAAAAATTTGTAGATCCAATAGATCATGATGAACTCGTTCCTTCTGAGCAAACATTTTCAAAAACGACTTAAAACGAAGAAGTTACCATATGGTATGTAGTTGGTAAAAAAAAAGTTTCTCGAAATATATTGAAAATTGATCTCATTTTGTAGAGCACAACGAACTCCTTCCATGTGTGCAAAAAAAATTGAAATCCGAGTTAAATCGAAGAAGATAAGAGCCGATTATGAAAACTAGGGAAAATAAAATGTTTTTAATTGACAACCCGATCTGGATTTTCTGGGTCCACTTAGATCTAAAGATCCAGATTTAGTTACTCATAGATAGGGATGGCAACAAAATCCGAACCCACGGGTACCCACCCGACCCAACCCGTTCAACGCGGGTAAAATCCGCGTTGACGGGTTTTGGGCCGGGTTTGGGTTTAAACTCGTTCACTATTCATCGGGTTGGATTGGATTTGGATTTAGGTAAACCCGGTCCATGGGTACCCGCCCACACCCATATAATTAATTTTTTGGTATATTTAATATTCTAAACAACTAATCTTATTTATGTTTGTGGAGACATGTGTAATTTTTTCTTTCTAATTGTGTAAAATGAAGTTGATGTTATCAAGTGGAGAGTGAAGAAACTTAATTGAAAAGAAGAAGTTTTCAATTAATCATGTTATTTATGGATAATTTGTAATTTGCTTCAATTTTCTTGAGTTTTCTAGATTGGCGTTGAACAATTTGTATAGTTAATTTGTGATTTGCTTGAATTTTCTAGAATAGTGTTTCATATATGGATAATTTGTATTGAGAGATTGATATTTGACTTTAATTTTGATAGGAACTTGTTATTGTAAATTTTTTACGATAAAAACCGTGGGTACCCATGAACCCGCGGATACCCAGCAGGTTGAGTTGGGTTTGAGTTTTTCAAACCCAGTGGGTTTTACCTCAGGTTTTTTCACGAATAAACCCATGGGTTTGGATTTGACAAAACCGGACCCAAACTGACTCATTGCCATCCCTACTCATAGGTGAGTAACCATTGGTTACTAACCCTACCCTAAGTCCTATCCTAAGCTCTCATAATATGGTCTTATGTGACTTATGGCGATGAAGCACAAGTTCCATCCATATAGTAAAACTATGTGTGGATTTTAAGGACCTTAGTAACAAGAGTACTATATCACACAAGTGAACCTTGCTCGTTTATAAATCGAATGCATAAAGAAAATTTTCCTTCTTAATACCCAAGTCACATCGAGACTTTTAAGGACCAATTTCATACTAAGAACGCTTTCTTAGTCCCTTAACGATAGTTTCGAGTTCAACCTTCAAATATACTTTTTTTTATTTTATTTTCTTTTGGTAGAACAAGTCTATCTTCTCAAGTATGCACTTCACAAATAAGTGCTTGTGGATTTGTTCATATCGATCAACCTTCAATAGGAGTACCATAGCCATAAGGGTTAGTCAATGCCACAACTCCTACTTGATATAATGCACAAGGTAGAACACACGGTTACACTATTAGCAACATTTCATGAAGACAAACATGGACCAACCAGAATCAATCAATCAATAAAGCATATGTGTTTATTCAACGCGATATTATTTACGAGCAAGCTGTTAAATGCAAGTACAAGAAACAAGTCGCAAAAACACATATCTTCCATGAATTTTCCACCAAAGCTAGGCTCGTTTGCTTCATGGATTTGAAAAATGAAGGTTTTGGTTAAAACCTGGGTTTTACAAAACCATGGATATATGATGGAATTGCCCCATTTGGTTTTTGGTACAAACTATCGTTTGCTTGTTAGATTTCATGATGGATTTGACATTGTTATATTTGTGATTGTATTAGGAATTTACCTTAGTGCTCTTATTGAGTATTATTTATTTTTACATTATAATTTTTGTTACAAAACAATTTTCACCCAATAGCTTCGTCCTACTACGACAATCGGAACAAATGAACATGATTAATCAATAACAACTTCATATTATACACATAATTAGACAATTCCTTAAGGTTTTCAATGTTGCAAAGTATGTTTTGAGATTAATCATGTAGTGTTTGCGTGCAATGAATAATAATAACGACTATTGAATGCAAAATTAATATACACTACAAGTTGGTCATTAGTAAATGAAAGAGGATAAGTTGGTGATTAGTTTAATAAGTATGATTAAAATTGTAAAAAGTCATCATGGACTTTGTACCCCAACACAAATCCCACCTCTTGGAGTGGAATTCTCAAGTCCACGGATTTGTACCATAAAAGTATGTGGGCCCCACGGATTTATTTATACTAAATCCATCATGCAAACGACGTATTATGTACAAAGTCCATAATGCTTGGTTTTTACATACCAAATCTATGATTAATTCCATAAAACAAACAAGTAATATCATAATGTACCAATAAGCTCCCTTGTATATTCCACTTTCCACGTGAGACAAACTTGTTAGACTCATATCCTAGCAAGTTTACTCGCTTAGCCTCCATGATACTTCATGGTGCACTCATATATTATTGGAAAACGTTCCTTAACTAATTCCATAAATATCAATATGCAACTCTTGTTTTTTATAAATATTTCGGTAGGACCCATGATTTGCCTAATGTTGTAGATACAAATTCACGAGTCGTGACGATTACCCTTTCTTGCTCACTTTATTTTGGACAATTAACATCAATTGAGTGTACATCCAATGAATGCACACTCATCCTTCCATGTTTTTAGCTCCTTGGATGTTCAATCTACCACCTCCGACTATAAATCCTAGTATTCCCACTCACTGCTCAAAGGCATAACTAGTGTGATAGATGATGATTATACGTTTTCGCAATCAATTTAAAGCATTATCGAAGGTCAACATAACCGAATGATATGGCCAAAATAAATCAAAATATTTAGGCAAAAATAGTGATCTTTTCGTCGAAACTAGGATGTTGACATGTTTTAATGAGTACAACAATTTTGTTGGTTTTATTTTATCCAGTCAATGTATAACATTGAATTCGCACCTCAATCTCAATCAACATCTCTGCTCCAACCGCATTACCATATACCTTTCAAAACCATGGATGATCATCATCACAACTATAAGATGGATCTTCACTCCACATGAACTTAAATTTTTTTCAGTGGCCGACAACACCAACAGTTCTAAGATTGACAATAATTTCATTTTCATTGAATGGCTAAGATGGTACAAATGCATTGGACAAACACGTACACACCGGATGAACACAAACTCACTAGAACTCTCAACATTTCCCCTTAAATTTCAGCAAATATTTTGATCATATTTGGTCACGTCTTTCTTAATTAGTACCAAATATACCATTATAGATATCACGACAACAATGACGACGACGATCCATGCACATCAAGCTAATTAATCCTGCAAGCAAGCTACCTGACCTTTCTTCCTCCTCACGGCAACCCACCTCCAAGACCTCCACCGGCGCCAGCCCCACCGCCGAACCCCGCCCCAGCTCCGCCACCTAGCCCGCTGCCGCCACCACCTCCGAACCCTCCTCCACCGCCACCACCGAGTCCCCCACCAGCACCGGCTCCACCTCCAAACCCTGCTCCGCCACCAAACCCTGACCCACCACCCACTCCTCCACCAGCACCGCCGCCGCCTCCAAACCCTCCGCCGCCTCCACCTCCAGCACCGCCTCCCAGCCCACCTCCCGCACCAGCACCGCCGCCGAACCCGGCACCAGCTCCACCGCCAGCTCCGCCACCTAAACCTCCACCACCTCCGCCTCCAAGCCCGCCTCCACCTCCTGCACCACCGCCGAGTCCTCCTCCAGCACCACCGCCTAGTCCGGCTCCACCCCCGAGCCCCCCACCGCCGCCGCCACCAAGGCCGCCTCCGCCTCCGAGGCCAGGGCGGTGGAACAAGTTCTTTCCGTCGTCGAAGATGGCAGGATTAGTAGTCTGGTACAGGTTCCTGGCGCCATTGGCGGAGACCAGGAAGGCGCCGAGCAACAAAGCGAGAAGGAGCTTCGAATGTGTCATCGTTGAGTTGGGATAGATGTTGTGTTGTGAGAAGAGGGAGGGCAGGAAGTAGGGTTTATATAGGAAGAAGTATTGACAGCTACAATAATATAGATGGATGGAAGAGGAGGAAAAGGAGGGAAGTTGGTTGGGAGTGAAATAAATGGCCGGGGGGAGCTCTCTCTCTCTCTCTCTCTCTCTCTCTCTCTTTCATATCTTTCTTTCGCCCTGTCTGTCCTTGTCAATTGTCATCCACAAAACCGTGTTGATAGAGTAAATGCCATGGCCAAGGCCAACTAGCATGTGCCTCCTTTTTCTCCATTCCGTTATTATGACATAGAGAGAGATAGAGAGGTGGTTGTGTTGCCCATTCCTTTGCTCTCCTCTTCCCATGGAAGCGCCTTGTTTTGCTAGCTCTTAAAGCTGTGGAGAATTGATGATGATATATTAGTGTTTGCTGAAATGGAAAATGGTAGCACCCAGTCGTTCTATAGAGAGTTATTGCAAAACTAATTATAGGGTTTGCTGTAGATAGCTAGCTAGGCATACCCTAATTAATGTGCCATTTCGTCTGGGATATTTGACACCAAAAGAGGGAACTGTGGTAGCCAGCTATTTTATCATACTTTGTACGTATGCATGATACAATATATATAATTGAATGCAATAATAACTGCTAGCCTATCATGTTATACAAACAATAGGTATTTGATGCCATTGATATTTTGCTAATTACGTATTGTATTTGTGTTCACGGTGCCACTACGTACATGCAAACTAAATACATATACAAAATGGGCGGTGCATGCATGCATCTACTGGTTAAAGAGGGTATGATGAGTTATCTAACCGGCCAGGAACTAATTATTATCCGATCCTATTAGATCCACTGCATTACAACTGGTAACGCTCGTCGACTTCACTTGTACTAACCCAATACATCCTATCTATATTTTCACAAGTCGTAAAAGTCATGCGTAGTGTAAAGAACAAATCAGTAGGGATTATGATGTTAATTAATGTGTAAAAACAAGTTCCTACAAATGTATGAAATCGTCTCACATATGTAAAACTCATATATGCTATAAATGTGTGTAGATCATACTAGAAATGTATAAGAGCCAAACTATCAATGTTTAAAAATGACAGCATAAATAAATAAATGAAATTCGTATGCCTAACTAAGAAACCAAGAAACAATATCACATCCCAACTCTTGATCAAATAAGAGACCATTGTGTGGAAAAAAATCCAAAACTCACATTCTTTTTTTAAATTCCAAAATACTCACGTTTTATTAAAAATTCTTAATCTACACATGTTTGGGCATCACCGCGGTCGTTCACCGTGGTTGACGGCCGCGGTGAAGGCTTCATTGCGTTTGTCGGCCGCGGTGAAGGCCCGACTCAAGGCTAAAACTTCAAACTAACGTAACTTTGCTCTCGGTTATCCGATCCTAGCGAAATTTTTTTGATTCCACACAAATTTTCAAGATCTTTCAATCTTCAACCAACCTTCATCCCAAAAAAATGTCGTTTGCTACCCTGAACGAGCAATTTTTCGATTTTGCCAAACTTTGGAAGGCCATAACTATGTGCTCCTCAATCTGAAAGTCATAAAAAAAAATTATTGCGCATAAATTTTTTAAAAATACAACTTTTACTATGAGAATTTCAAAACAAGAAATACTTTTGGGTATACGTAATTTTGGGAATAACATTGCCTTTACTATTTACAAATCCATATACATTCCAAAATTATGGTTATGATCAAAGTTTAATTCCTTAAAAAGTTATGCGAAATCAAAAAATGTTTCATGACATTCGGATTGCAGAGCACAAAGGTATGGTCTTCCAAATTAAAGTTTGTCTAAATCGAAAAATTGCTCGTTCGGGGGTAGCTAGCGACATTTTTTTGGGATGAAGGAGGGTTCAAGACTGAAAGATCTTGAAAAGTTATGCAGAATAAAAAAAAATTCACTACGATCGGATAACCGAGGTTAATGCATTCACCGCGGTTGACGGCTGCGGTGATGCCCAAGCATGTATAGATTAGGAATTTTTCATAAAACGTGTGTATTTTGAATAATTTTTTAAAAACGTGTCTATTCTGGGAAAAATCCCCATTGTGTAGGGGTGGCGATTTGGTTTTGATTTTGGTTTTATCAGTTTTAATTGAAACCGAACCGGTTTATAAGATAACGGTTTTCCTTAACAGGTAAAAACCGGCAAGTTCTTAACGATTTCGATTAAAACAAAAAAATATTTAATAAATTGATAAGTCGTCTTAATGCTTCGTTCTTGATTTTTGATTTACTATGATCGAAGATTCGAAACCAGATATTTTAGAACTTATTGATTTTCAATTAATCGAACATTAATAAGCTCTTGACCGTTTTGGTTTTGAGCAATTGGCTGGTAGGGGTATCGATTATTTCTAATGGGCTTCAATTTGGTTAATATGGAACCGAACCACCACCACCCCTACCATTATGCGGCCACCTCCATCATGCCAGATCTAGCAACTTCTCCGAGGAAGCTGTTAATTGTTCTTGTCCAAACTCCAATGACCAATCTAAGAATCTAATCCGTGTCCTCATTATCATAATTGGGATGACACGTATACGTACTTAATCAGCCTACTCTTAACAGCCTTAATTCCTTCCATGTCCTTCTAATCTTCCTCTACATTGCATGTTCTTCGTTGAACGTTTAAGCAATAATAATAATGTAAAAATGATAAGATAAAGTAGTGCTTCATTCACAACTGCTTAGCTTGATGTGGCATGACAATGGAGGAAAGTAGAGTGACTATAACTGCAAGAATGTGATCGATGATGAGACCCGGCCTCTTGCTTGGCTGGCACCCGGCCAGCGTTAAAAGTCAAAACCCACCCACAGTTTACCACTCCTCTACGTACAGAGAAAAATGGCATCGCCGACATTTTCTCATTAATTGGGAGTGTGCAACATTTCGGTCAGGATCGAACTAAACTCATGTGAATCGTTGTTCAATGGTGAAAAGGTGGTTTAGAAACAAAGATCGAACATACGTTGCATTTCGTCCAGTTTGATCCGATCAAAATATCAATTCGACTTATTTTTATTTAATATTCATGAAACGAAGAACAAAACCACATTATATTTGATTTGATATGGTCTGGTTTCGGACCAATCCGTTCCAACTACAGTCTACAGCATCTATCACAAGCGCAGAGACTTTTTCGTATCCAATTGGCTCTCTTTCTTCATTCCGCAATAAGCCAGCTCAGCTGCGGCTGGAAGGGAGCCCTTTTGGCCATAACAGCAGTTGCTATTTAATGAAAACGTCAGACCATCCTCCTCAACATAATTCCTCACCTATCTATCAATACAATACATCTCTCTTTCTTTACCGTTGCGTTCATATGAACTATTATGATCACAGAAAAGTTTGATATTGTCAAAAAGGGGCAGCCCTATGTATATATACCTTATTGTCTGGTATATAGGTATACCCAGTTCAACAAATTCTTTTTTTGAAAACTTTCATTATATTATTGAGGGCAGCTAGGTAGCGGGCGGATAGAATTGGAATTCTGCAGGTTAATTAAGAGAAGAGATCCTGCAGTACCATTATTTGCAATTATTTCGTTTCTCTAATTCTGGAAACTCCTTCTGGAACTAGCACATGCATGTGGTATAACGTACATTGTTCATACTTGCTGCAACATCTTAATAAAGAGCAAACTAAACGCATACTATTCAAGTTTTAAGGACTAGTACTGCGGACCGGTTCATTAATATTTGCCGAAAGCATGAACAACATTATGGAACTCCTTAACTAAGCTCTCCATTTAAAGTCACTATCATGGTAATGAAGAATTTAATAACCCAAAGGGAAGAAGAAGAAGAAGAAGAAAAAAACTACTGATTTTAGGGGGTATTTTGCTTGTTTGATTTGCATCGTGGATGTAAGATCAAAATCCTATGTATCAAGGATTTAGGGGTCATTTGCTTGTTGGATTTGGAAAATGAAAGATCGGTGATGAATTTTGGATGTTATGGGTTGGAAAAGAATGTTGTTTGCTTTGATATAATAATTTCTTCGAGTTGGATTTATGGTTTTAGAATTACATTTACCTTGCTATCTTTAACATATATATGGGGACAATGGAGTCAATTCTTGTAATGAATTTGGATGTTTGTGACAAATATTAACTCATTAGATGTGTTTTCTAAATTTTTTGAACTTATATATTTGAAGGAAAAAAAATATTCTTTGTACGTGAATACTGTGAATTGGACATCTCTTTTGTTTTCCTCAACAAATAATGGATAGCAAATCCATAGGGGTCATTTGGATCCAGAAATCTGGACAGGGAATTGGCCCAAATCCTGGCCCAGAATTTTATTAGATTATGTTGTTTGGGATGGTGTTCAATAATGTAGGAATTGGTCCATGCCGGTTTTTGAAATCCAGCTCAGCCCGGAATTAGAAATAGTCGGCCACCCCCAGGTATTTTAAAATCCGGCCCCAATTTTATTGTTTATGCCCAGCGTGTCCTTGCTTCCTTTTCGTTAATCCAATTTTACCCTTCACCACATTTTCACAGACCTACTTCATTCTTCGAATCAAATCGTGATGGCTCTCCCTAACCTACCTCCGCGATAGAACTCCTTCGATTTCCCGGCCAGAGGAGGGTGAGTGGCTGATCTTGGCGGCGAGCTGCTGATCTTGGCAGCGACGGAAGTGAGGGTGAGCGGCTGATCTTTCATTCTTCAACAGGCGCGACTTCTGCGAGAAGATTCAGGTTCGTTACCTTCTCTTGCTGCTGGAAGTTTGGTGCGATTTCTAGGGTGCCTCGAACGATGTGTTTCCAGATCCTGGCGGGTTCTCCTCAGCCAGCGGTACCCCTCGGCTCCTGAGCGAGCTATACTCTTCATCATTCTCATGGTGGATCTTGAATTTTGAATGAGTCTTTAATTAGAAGGGTAAGAAGTACCCAGAAACAAAAAGTGATTAATGGTTTTGAATGGGTCTCTAATCGGAGATTTGCTACGTTGTTGATAACCTAACATAGAAAATCCATTTTAGCTTTGCAAACCCACCAATCGATAGTTTATTCCACTTACATGAAGATAAAAGGATTTGATTGATTGTTTTGTTTTTCTGTGATGAACCACAACTTATTATTGTTGTTTCAGTTTATTCTATCAGCATCTTATTATTGGTGTTTTTACCTGCCCTTATAAGGATGGCTTGTCTGTCAAGCATGTCTTCATCAGAAAGGCGAAAGATTATGGTAGCGATTAGCGCATTTTAGAATCTGTTAGTTATGTATATCGATTTGGGAATGGAACTAACAAGGCTCCTACATCTAAACCACTTAAATCCCAGAATTGGTAGGCAGCCCATTGATGGGTACATTGTTAGGCATTACGATAGGCAGAGGTTCCTCCGCCGATGTACGCAAAGTAGTGATACGGAAAGCCATAGGAAGATTAGAATGAACCGCAAACCTATTCAAAACTCTATGTGAACTACTAGTTGCCGAAGGGCGTCTTAAAAAGACGAGAATTGTAGAAATAGAGGAAATGGTACTTACCTTCCTACTTACCCTTTCTCATAGCGATAAGAATAGGAGCATAGTTGTAGATCTTAGGAGGTCTACAGAGACCATATACTGGTCATTCCATCGCGTGTTGTGGGCAATTCTAAGGCTGAATAAGATGCTCATGAAGAAGCCCGAACCAATTCCAGTTGACTCAACCAACAATAGATGGAAGTACTTTAAGGTTAGCAATTCAATGAACTCAATCTGAAAATCAAATTCAACTCGCCAATTAATGTTTTTTTTTTGAAAACTTTCATAATATTATTGAGGGTAGCTAGCTAGCGGGCGGATAGAATTGGAATTCTGCAGGTTAATTAAGAGATCATGCAGTACCATTATTTGTAATTATTTCGTTTCTCTAATTCTGGAAACTCCTTCTGGAACTAGCATATGCATGTGGTATAACGTACATTGTTCATACTTTCTGCAACATCTTAATAAAGAGCAAACCTAAACACATACTATTCAAGCTTTAAGGACTAGTACTGCGAACCGGTTAATTAATATTTGCCGAAAGCATGAACAACATTACGGAACTCCTTAACTAAGCTCTCCATTTAAAGTCACTATCACGGTAATGAGGAATTTAATAACCCAAAGGGAAGAAGAAGAAGAAAAAAAAACTACTGATTTTAGGGGGTATTTTGCTTGTTTGATTTGCATCGTGGATGTAAGATCAAAATCCTATGTATCAAGGATTTAGGGGTCATTTGTTTGTTAGATTTGAAAAATGGAAGATTGGTGATGAATTTTGTATATTATGGGTTGGAAAAGAATGTTGTTTGATTTGATATAATAATTTTTTCTAGTTGGATTTATGGTTTTATAATTACATTTACCTTGCTACCTTTAATATATATATGGGGACAATTGAGTCAATTCTTGTAATGAATTTGGATGTTTGTGATAAATATTATTTGGACTTATATATTTGAAAGAAAAAAATATTCTTTGTTCGTGAATACTGTGAATTGGACCTCTCTTTTGTTTTCCTCAACAAATAATGGAAATAGCATATCCATAGGGGTCGTTTGGATCCAAAAATCTGGACAGGGAATTGGCCCAAATCCTGGCCCATCCAGGATTTTAATAGATTATGTTTTTTGGGTTGGTGTCCAATATTGCATGAATTGGTCCATGCCAGTTTTTGAAATCCGGCCCAACCCGGAATTAGAAATAGCCGGCCACCCCCAGGTATTTTAAAATCCGGTCCCAATTTTATTGTTTATGCCCAGCGCGTCCTTGCTTCTTTTTTGTTAATCCAATTTTACCCTTCACCACATTTTCACAGACCTACTTCATTCTTCGAATCAAATCGTGATGGCTCTCCCCAACCTACCTACGCGATAGAACTCCTTCGATTCCCCGGCCAGAGGAGGGTGAGTGGCTGATCTTGGCGGCGACGGAAGAGGGTGAGCGGTTGATCTTTCATTCTTCAACAGGCGCGACTTCTGCGAGAAGATTCAGGTTCGTTACCTTCTCTTGCTGCTGGAAGTTTGGTGCGATTTCTAGGGTGACTTGAACGATGTGTTTCCAGATCCTGGCGAGTTCTCCTCAGCCAGCGGTACCCCCCGGCTCCTGAGCGAGCTATACTCTTCATTATTCTCATGGTGGATCTTGAATTTTGAATGAGTCTTTAATTAGAAGGGTAAGAAGTACCAAGAAACAAAAAGTGATTAATGGTTTTGAATGGGTCTCTAATCAGAGCGATGGCGGAAGAGGGTGAGCGGTTGATCTTTCATTCTTCAACAGGCGCGACTTCTGCGAGAAGATTCAGGTTCGTTACCTTCTCTTGCTGCTGGAAGTTTGGTGCGATTTCTAGGGTGACTAGAACTATGTGTTTCCAGATCCTGACGGGTTCTCCTCAGCCAGCGGTAAGAAGTACCAAGAAACAAAAAGTGATTAATGGTTTTGAATGGGTCTCTAATCAGAGATTCGCTACACTATTGATAACCTAACATAGAAAATCCATTTTAGCTTTGCAAACCCACCAATCGATAGTTTATTCCACTTACAGAAAGATAAAAGGATTTGATTGATTATTTTGTTTTTCTGTGAATCAACCGCAACTTATTATTGTTGTTTCAGTTTATTCTATCAGCATCTTATTATTGTTGTTTTTACCTGCCCTTATAAGGATGGTTCGTCTGTCAAGCATGTCTTCATCAGAAAGGCGAAAGATTATGGTAGCGATTAGTGCATTTTAGAATCTGTTAGTTATGTATATCGATTTGGGAATGGAACTAACAAGGCTCCTACATCTAAAGCACTTAAATCCCAGAATTGGTAGGCAGCCCATTGATGGGTACATTGTTAGGCACTACGATAGGCAGAGGTTCCTCTACCGATGTACGCAAAGTAGTGATACGGAAAGCCATAGGAAGATTAGAATGAACCGCAACCTATTCAAAACTCTATGTGAACTACTAGTTGCCGAAGGGCGTCTTACATAGACGAGAAATGTAGAAATAGAGGAAATGGTACTTACCTTCCTACTTACCCTTTCTCATAGCGATAAGAATAGGAGCATAGTTGTAGATCTTAGGAGGTCTACAGAGACCATATACCCGTCATTCCATCGCGTGTTGTGGTCAATTCTAAGGCTGAATAAGATGCTCATGAAGAAGCCTGAACCAATTCCAGTTGACTCAACCAACAATAGGTGGAAGTACTTTAAGGTTAGCAATTCAATGAACTCAATCTGAAAATCAAATTCAACTCACCAATTAAATTTCTTTGTCTAAAACCACTTATCCTTCATTGACGTAGAATTTCTTAGGAGCACTTGATGGCACTCACATTGATGTCAGACCACTAAAGGAAGAACAAACAAAGTATCGAGATAGGAGTGGAATCTAACAATAAATTGTCTGGGAGTGTGCATACCGAACTTGGAGTTCATTTACTGCCTCGCTGGTTGGGAAGGATCTGCACATGATGCACGTGTGTTGAGGGATGCTTTGAATAGGCCAAATGGACTTTTTGTGCCTCAAGGTAATAGGTGTACCTAATAGGTTAAGGTTCTTGTTCTAATCATTGAATTATGTCTAATGAGGGCTACTTCTTTTACTAGGATGTTAGTATTTATGTGATCATGGTTATGGAAACAGTCCTGGGTTCTTGACCCCCATCCGGGGGCCAAGATACCATGTTGATGGACAACAACGTCTTCCTTTAACCACTGAGGCATACTACAATTGGTGGCATGCACAAGCTAGGAACGTTGTAGCCTGCTGTTTGCTCCATAATTTCATTAAAAGGGAACATGGTGCTGACATTTATGAAAGAACTTACCGAGATCAAGCAACTTTGGAACCTGAAGTTGTTGAAGTTGAACCTGAAGTTGTTGAAGTTAAGGACACTTTTTAACTGCAGATATGTGGCTACTGAATTGGCAACTGATATACAATGAGCATGTCTTGCAGGATGGGGAGAAAGAGATGTGTTGGTGGAGATAAAGATGGAGCAACTTCCAGCAAGTACACATTTTGGCCTGAGAAGCTTGACAAGCCTTTAGTCGAGTGCATTTTGGAGCTGATGGTGAAGGGGATCATTTTGGATGGCAACTGCAAAAACGGAGGATATGACGCTCTCGAGAAGATGTTGGAACAAAAGGTACCTGGCTGTGGGATGAGGGCAAAGCCCAATATTGAAGGACGATACAAGGGTTTGAAGAAAAAGTGGCATGCTTTCACATTTATGAGGAATCAAAGTGGATGGGGGTGGGATGAGGTCAACAAGTGCGTCATATGCCCTTATGAGAAGTGGGACAAGTTTGAAGAGGTATGTATACTCCCTGGCCTTTTACTTTCTGTTTGGTGCTACTTTGTGGAATTTTAGCAGCAATAGTAATATTAGCAGGTGGATTTATTTTTCTGGTTCCCTTTCTCTTATGTTACTGTGCAGCTGTTGATGGCCACCGTCTACTAACTAACTGAATCAATGTTGTTTTCCTGTTCACATCATAGTTCGTAATCCTCAGCGTTACTTACTCGGTAGCTTTCCCTGGAGTTCTTAAGTCGCTGCTTGTTTTGCTATGCTTTACACCCTATCATTTTGGATCAATCTTTGGAGCTACTTCAGGCCATGGACAATGTCCGTCTCTGACATCTATTGGCCTTGTTATATTTCAAGATTGCAAGTTACACTATATATATGTGAACGACATACATAACTCGTAGGACCCCTTGCTTGTTATGTAATTCCAAGCTTACTATGGAAGTCAGTTTTTGTGCTTTCTGAATTTGGTCATGAGGCAGGACCTTCCTCTAAGCTTAAATAGTGTAGGCATTTCACCTAGGAAGGCAATTTCTTTCTACTATAAATGCTTCCAATAAGATATTGCATCTTATCAAAACTTGGACTTTTCATGGTTGGGAATTCTGTCAATTGGGTTCGGTTAGTCAATCCAACTATATAAATGAAGCATCTATGGAAATTGATTAGCCAAGGGCGATTAATTTGTTTTTTATTCTCCATTACTGATATACTCTATGTATGTGATGGAAATTTGTCTTATAATAAGTATTGTTTGGATGTTGAATGGATGCCACTTAGCATGTGATTGACTGCTCTGCTGGAACATCTTTAGGCTGCATTTCAGCATTTATATGTAGGTTCTATTGATTCTTATTTTTGGCTGCATATCTTTTCTCTTATGTTCCCTTTCTCACTTTTCTGGTTTGTCTTATTAGAAACATCCAAATTGCGGAGGTCTGAACAAGAAATCATTCCCGGTGTACGATGACTTGACTCCAGTGTTCGCCAAAGGACGTGCAAGCGGAGAGCATGTGTACGATATCGATCCCCCGGGCTGTGGAGGGGAACCAATCGAGGATGAGGGTACTCAAGCCGTCCCACTTAATGAAGCTGAGGAGGTTGTGATGGCTAAACTTAATGCATAGCTGGAAGCACAGAAAATGCAGTCTGCAAGTGTTACAGCCTCGAGTGATGGGACAGCAGGAAAGAAGAAGAAGAGGTCCCAATCTGTAGATGACAGGATTGACTTCGTTGTGGGTGAGATGAGTGAGCTTCGCCCAATGATCAAGCAGTCAATGGAAACCATCGCTAGAGCACTTGGTGAGAGTGACGACCTTATCGAGAAGAGAACCAATCTGCTGAAGACACTTGAGGAGCTTGAAGGGATCACTAGAGCTGAGATTTTAACAGCATTAAGGAAGCTTTCTAACAATGACAGGGATTTGATGATCTTCTATGGCTTGGAAGACAAAGCTGACAAGTTGATGTTCGTGACAGGGCTGCTTGGATGAAGTACATTTTGTGGGAAGTTATAAATGTTAGTTTACGTATGTTGAACAAAGAACTCGAACAAGGTTGTTGTGTTTTGGGATTTTGCAGGAAGTTTATTATGTCGGTTTACTTATGTTGAACAAGAACTCTTACAAGTCTGTGGGAAGTTATGTATGCAAGATTATGTATCTTGAAGTTATGTATGCAGAATATGTTAATCCCAGAATTGAGTATGTTACATGGTTACATATGTTGTTTTTTTTTATCAGGTTAAACCCATAATTGAGTATGTTGCAGGGTTATGATTCTGTTAAATATGCTAAGGGCATATATCATGTTTGGTAGTAAAACAAAGGCTGCAACTGGTAAAACCCAGATCAGAATGGTCATTCAATTAACAAGTAACATACTGCCTCATTACTGGGCTTACAATAGCCAACACCAAACATTCTTTTCTTTTACTTCCATAGCTAACAAAAAGCTCTAAACTTCAGCTATGGGGAATGAGTCCAACAACAACATAAATTGGTGCGTCCCTTCTAGGACTTCCACCTTCCATGGCAACGGTGGCGGAGTAGCAGCAAGCGGGGAGAGAAGGCGGGAGACCATGACCAGCAAGGTAGCTTCTGGTCAATTACAAGAGGATCACAGCCTGAGTTACGACTTCTGCATCAAGGATGGCGGTGGTGGGTGTATATTTCAAGCATCGGGGGTGCTATTGGGATCGTGAGACCATCATCAAAACCAGCAACAGCAAAGCCAGGATTCGTTCGAGAGCAGATAGATGGGCAGCTACACCGCCGGCGTCGTATGGAAATGACTTATCATCGTCGTCGAAGTTCTGTCCAAACGATGCGTGTAATCGGCACCTACGAGATTGCCAAAGAGGGTAGTGAGAAACCTCAATTTTTCCGGGTAAAGTAGATATTAATGTCCATCAATTTATCTGGGCATCAGATTATTGGTTACACGTCAGTGGCTAGTCTCCATGCGACGACGATCTCTAGGGGAAGAATCTGATGATGGTTACGCGCAGCGGGAGTGGCGTGGAGGAGATTGGAGGACGCAACGACGGAGGGAGTGGGGGTATAAAGGCACTTTTACAATTTCTTTCATAATTACATTTCCTGCCTAATAAATCTCTCATTCCTAAACAAACAATATATTTAACTCAAATTCTAGGTTTAAAATACCAGGTTTTTAATTTGAGTGATTGTTGACCAAATTCCTAATTAATTAAATTCTCAATCCAAACGATCCCTATGTGTGGGAATTGGATCACAAATCTAAAAAGCAAACAATTTGTTAATCAAATTCATTATTTTTTTATCTAGAAAAGTGGTGATTAATTTATGAGTTATCTATCTCCTAATTCTTTTCTTTATTCCAACACTTAGAGTTAGTAAAGTAATAAAAACTTTAACCTATAAATCCTAATTAACAAAACCAATCACCAAAAACAAAACCTTACAACAAAATTTATTTAACTCACTTAAGAATCTCAATAAAAATCACTTTGTACCATATTTTCTCCTCTCTATTTTTATATTATTTATTCCCGAAATCTTAGTGACAATATTATTTCGTATCTTTTTTACTCTCCTTTTTCTTATAACTTCTCATGTCACATTATTCCTTCCAAAATTTTCCTACTTTTATCTTAATGTCAATATTAGTACTAAATGAAGTTTAATGAAGTAACTAAACACAAAATAGTCAACTTCTATAAGAAAATATGAACTAAATATGTTTCTATTTTTTCAGTTTCACAGTGTAGAAATTGTAAGGGGTCGTTTGCTTCATTGATTTAAAAATGAGGATTTTTAATTTAAAAAACCCAAGGAATTATTAAGTATTTGTGACATTATGAATTTGTAACAATCCTTTGTTTGTTGAGATGTTTTATCATGGATTTAAGGATTTGAGATTTAGAACTTAACGTCTAAAATTGCCTTACTATCTATTTCTATTTGTTTGTCATATTTATGATATGTGCACAAAGCAAGGACAATATATACGTACTAATAGGTAATAAGCATAATGATTCCATGAGCACAATAATAATAAACGGGAAAATTTTGTTTAACTTTTAACGTAACATATATAAAATTATCAATTCTTTGTCTTCCTTTTCAAAAGAAACATATAGCAACATATATTAGAACCGGGAGAACAAATAATTTCACGTTCCATGAAAAGGTCAAAGAAAACTAGAACACAAAAAAGATAATAAAAATCTAACTCAAGTATGCACATTAATTGAATATTTATATTATTTATTTGTTGTTAATTAATTGGTTAATTAAGATGCACATTGTGTAAATGTGAAAGGCAATATTGGAATATTAAATATTTATGAGGGTATATAGGTAAAATGCCATCATAAAATTATGGCATGTTCCAAATCCCACATCAATACGTTAAATTTCTAACTCTGTGGGGTCCATGAATTTAAACTCTTAAAAATTCATGGGTCCACGGATTTAGTCCTAAAAAAACTACATCCAAATGATGAATTTTTCTTAAATCCATAATAAATGGAATTTGGGTACCAAACAAGGGTGGAGGGAGAAGGTTAGAGGGTGGGTCCCGGCACCCACCCTGGTTCGGGAGGAAAAATGATAAATTAGGTATAATAGTAAATCGGGTATGAAAAATAACACGTATTTAAATGAGAATAGTTTATCTTTCAAATATTTGGTGAATGATATAAGTTGTGTATTGACATATACAATGTTTTTATAACGAGTTATGTACAAATGACAATGGTGCATATGATCCACCCAAAATTAATGATGTATTTATTTAATATCTCAAACAAAATTTCACCAAATCATAGCTAATTTATAAAAATAATTTTATTTCAATCAGGGTTAGAGAGAGTGTAACGAGCGGCTCCTAAGGACAAAAATGAGTAAAATAGTATAATGTTTAATTGAGAATGAAATTTAAGACACTTCTAATTGAGAATGGTTGACCGAGAGATCATGTGTTCGAATTTAGGCGACCCCATTTGTAAAGCACATGATATTCGGATTTGCGAAACATTTAAGCACGTATTAGGTGGTTTTCGTTATCGGGAAAGTGGTAGTAACTGGTCTTGACGGAAAAACATTGTTAAATAGTACAAGTCTCTTGCACAGAAACTTGAGTTATTGGTACTAAATGGTCCTGACAAAGAACACCATTCAAAAGCAAATGTCTAACTAAATCATTAATAATTGGTTGATATATATAGAGTGATATTCTTGAGAGTTTCGACCTATAATTAATTTACCAAATTTTTGTAAATACAAAAGTATCTCATGAATTATTTAAAACGCTAACAAAACTATTTTATCGTATTTTTTTCTAAAAGGACCCACCCTCAAGACAATCTTGGCTACGCCCCTGGTACCAACTCCATAATCCAAACATTAGCAAAGCCCAATAGGATCGTGGAAAACAGATACGGGAGCCCAGCTCAAATATCTTCACGAAGGAGCAACGTACGCAGAACGTTATCCACAAACGCTTAACGAATCTGCCAAGAACGTAAGAACCAAAACAGAGAAGCTGTTTCTACACAAACACAACGCCTGGCTTTGATACCATTAACGTTACTGGCGACGATGAACTGCACATCCCAGTTGCAATCTCCATTCCTTTCCCTTGCCGGCCCATATTCACTCCCTAAACACACCAATCAGCCATGGAATTCCCCGACACTGCTCTCGCCTTCACGGCCGAGGAAGGAAGTCGACGGCTGGAACGTGAGAACCACTACAACTACTACTCCGACGACTACGACACGAGCCATGTCCAGTTCTTCCCTCGACTACCTTGTCCTCGGAGTTGCCACAGCGAAACGCGGGGACATAGCTGTGCTGTTACCCACGGGGTTAGCAAATTTTGTCATCCTTCCATCGTGAATTACCTCTCCAAGCATATGAATGGATGTTCTGAAATTGCTTTGTTTCATTTGTTCCTCGGCTTTGTTGGTTACAGAGGTTTGCTTCTGTTCTTTTACGTGATATCCAACTTCGTCTTCCCGCATTTCTTGATGAAGTACTATGAGTCTGAAGCAGCCAAGGACGAAGACAATGCCACTATCAAGACTTCTTCCGATGACGACTGAAATCTCCTTCCATTTTCAGACTTTCTGCCCTCGGTCGCAGTCAGCAGATGTAGCAGGAAGATTACTCAAAACAGGAAAATCACGGATTCTCAATTGTATTTTCTCTTTTTTGCCTAAATTTGTATTATAACACATTTCGTGCAAGTAACAGGGTTCTGCTGATATTCTGCCTAAAACCCGGGGTAAAAAACAGGCCGAACGAGTGTGTGGATTTACAGATGAACATGATTTTAAACAAAAAAACAGGGAGACAGAAGGCATGGATTCCTTCATTACCTTGGGGGGATTTGAAAGAGATGGAAAATTCAAAAATAATTACAATTGGCTGTGTAGGATGATTCCCCTCTGTAGCCTTTCAAACGAGTGTCCAGTCACTATCTTCTGCTGAAGGGGTTTTTTCACCGGGGGATGCGCTCCCTGGCTTGGGAGGCTTGTTTTTCGAGAACAAGGATGACTTGCCCTCGAAGAAATTAGAGAATTGCTGTTTCATGGGGCTCTCCTCTGAACTGCTCTCGGATCTTGGGGACGGCTTTCTCGGGTTCCTGTCCTTAATGCCGAAGTTCAGACCCAATTTTAGGAAGCTAATGCGCTTGGTTTCAGATCCAGGTGTTCTGGCCTCATCAGCCTGCTTCATTGCCTTAACAACTTCATCCGGGTTCACTATCATTGCCTCCATTGTTTCATACACCTGCATTTATAAAACATAGTTCATTAATCAATTGATCTCTGGCCATGCACTGGCAGTAAGTTGATCCAAGCAAAGAACTCAGGGAGGGCAATACTCCTGCAAAGTATAATGTCTCAGTGGGAGCTCTAGAATTTCCAGTGATTCAACCGATTTGATTGAAAAGATCATTATTAGGTTATCTGGAGGCACCAAGTGGTGCAAAATAGTTGAATGAAAGATGGAGCCACTTACTGAAATATGATTAGAAATCAAATACCCCGGTTGAGAAATGATAGGGGCCTGTGATCAGCAACTTACTTGGCAAATGTCGTCCACTTTTTCACTCCAGGGCCTTCCTTGACAAGTTACCACGAAGTAGTCTTTGCACTCATAGAATAGCTTTGATAAATAATCGTTGCTAGAGAGTTTTGCCTCGGCCATCAAAGTTCCCAGACCAAGCTGAACATATCACAATACATAAGATTATTAGTTTGCATTTGCGAGGATATTGTTTAATATTGAACCTCGTAGGAAGTACGTAAAGTGGAATTGATCCCTTACCAAAGAAATGAAGAATTGTTCAAAAAGCTCAGAAGGGCTGATGTTCTCCATGTGATTCAGAATCCCCTCACTGCAGGAGACTCCGTGCTGTTTTTGTAAGCTTAGGGTGTACAACTTCGAAATTAGAGCAGAGCAAAAGAATAGCTAAGGTAAAACTTACACTGCCAATTCCTCATCAAACAAAGGAGCCTGTTTAACAGCCGGAACCGGCTTAGATGTTTCCCACAGTTCACGCCACAAGTTTCCTGCCATCATCACAAAGATACATTTGTGAAAAGGTCTTCTAACTTCATGTACTTCTAGATTTGTCCAAGAAACCCAAAACTAGATCAACAAACTTCATCCAACATTGCTTGTGTTTGCAATTCAAAGAAGACAAGTAGACAACTAATTGGTAGAGCTTTGCAAGGATTGAATTAGTAACTATCCAGGCACGAAATAAAGTGTTTTTTAGAGGGTATACCTTCTTTCTGCATTCGACTACTTAAGTAACCTTTTGTTGAAGATGAATTACCCCCATCTGAAGAAGAAGTCTCATTCGCTTCATCAGTTGGCTCACTGTCTGTCCAGTCAGGAGGAGAATGCCATCTCACAAAATCCTCTAATATACAGCCAGGATTGGCAGCCTAACGCCAAAATGAAAAATATTTGAGCCAGTTACAAATATGAACATTTTAGAAATTAGAAGCTGACTAAAACCACTTCGTTATGGACTGGGCCTACCTTGAAACCTTGCATGTCAGAGAGTAACTGAGAGCACCCAGCACCAACACTGCCCCCAAAAGGAACTTAATTAGTCCACTCAAATCTGTATCCCAAAAAAGCTCACATGCATGCTGATAATTTAGAATAATAAATTTGGGTTTAAACTTTGAAGTATGCCAGCTCTATTATCTGCATAATAATAACAAGCAAATGATGCAAAAAGGCACAAATACTGATCAAGAATAGTCCTCCATTCCACTATGCAATATATAGAAGCCCTCCAAAAGTATCACTTACACCTTGTTCCTTTTGTGTTTTACATAAGCATCCATTTCAAGCATGGCAAGGAGGTAGAAGGTAATAACTGTACACACCTTCCAGTTCGAAGAACAAATTCTTCTGTTTCTTTGATAAGATCTTCGGTAAGCAAAGGGCCCTCCTACGATCATTGACACCCCGGATATAAATTAAAATAAAAATACTGATTCTCATCCAGTATCATTTAGATCTAACTAACCAAACCTGAGGGATAGGAGAGTATATTGGTTCACCACTTTCCAGCATGAACAGATTAGGAGCCTTCGAACCCGCACCTAGCCGAAGTACAAGTTCTCCACTGCTCGTTTTGGCATATAATAAATGCCCAGGAGCATTTACACCTTTAGCAGATTCTGGAGAAAATCTCTTGGCGTCCCTTAATGCAGCTTCCAGTGATTCAGAAGCAATCGCATGACGCTTTTTCCGGGAGACACAGCAATTGATAACTTGAAGCTGCTGGTATAGAAGGCAGGAATGAAGATCTGGAAACTCATCCAGAGGGATGCCTGGTATGTGGAGTTCTTCACCCCAAAGTCTTCTGAGCTGCATGCATAATTGGAGACAGTTAGCTGAACTGGCTAAGATCACAATGAAAGCATCTCCACTGGCTAACCTTCCCCTTTTTCTGAATAAGAAATTTCATCATCTAAATAATAATATTAACTTGTAGAAAGTCTCACAAGATCCAGCACTGATTGTGAAGAATTACAGGGGTGGTTTTGTAAGCATTAGAACTCATGAGTAAATCAGGAATGTTGGTAACAGCTTATGTGAAATAGGGAAACTGACAAATCACAGATGTTTCTTAATCCAACCTTTAAACATATAATCCAAAGCTTCTAGCTGACTAGAAAGTACCCAGAACGTTCTACAGCTGACATGTTATTGTAAGTTTCCTTATTACCATCAGAATTCTATTTTTACGAAAACAATTAGCAATTTATTATCAATAGCTTCACTTACTTCAGCAACAATTTTGCACCACAGGATAGCCATTTTCCGCAATGTTTTAAAGCTTCCAATTACTTCAGATAGCTTTACAAGGAAGCTTCCGGGAGGTGCACCATGAATGTCTTTAATCAATGATAAGGAATCCTCACTACAGCTCACATTCCTCCTTAGAAAGTCCCCCTCTGCGAGAATCTTGCAGATATTACAACGGAAGTGAAAGATCATCACAGGATAGACCAAGATAGTACAGACTACAACAAATGTATACATAAATTAAAATTGGAATGAGACAGTAGCAATTGAGGCAGGGAAGTATCAATTTACCTGCATCAAACAACGACTGCAAGATGGACAAAACCTTCTCGTGATTCTCAAACTCAGATGCAAGCTTCTCGTCCTTATCACGAAGCACCAATGACTTCACAGCAGCAAGGCTTCTGCTTGCCCTCTCCCTCATTGGTGAAGAACTTCCAGAAGGCACCACAATATCTTTTATTGACTTGTATTTTTTCCCAGCACTACAAAAAGGGAGCAGAAAGCAAAACTATAAGCAATTACAAAGAATTGTTCATTACAGGAACTGAGTCATCTAAGGAAATGCCCTTGTTATTCATGGAAAGAGTACAAACATGAAGGGACTTAGATTATACAGTAAAAGTGAGAAAATGAAGATACTGGATAATTAAGAAAAATGACAGCACAATCTTACTCAATAGCAGTAGCCAATTGCTTCATGACAGATGCTGGAGGGATGCTGTCTGGAGTTGTGGCATTTAATCTTTCTACTATGTAAGGTACTTGTGACGCCTATAAATGACAACCCGCAAGAACCACAGGATTTGTTTGATCCAATCAAAAAGAGAAACAACAAGTAATTAGTCATTCACTCATCAGCATTTGTCGATTTTCAAGTACTAGTGCAAATGCAAATGGCAATGAAGTTCACAGTATTCAACTTACCTCCAAACCCAGGACAAGAAACAAGCACAAAAGAAAAGGAACTGTAAGAGACTGTAAAAGGGGTAAGAGCAATGTATCTCACCTTGACCTCGGCATCCTTTTTCATGTTCAGTATGTACAAATTCTCATCATAAAATGCAAGAGCCATCTTTGAATCATCAACTTTTTCTGTCGGGCTGTCACCTTTTTTCCCTATTCTAATATTTTTGAATCGGTCCTGCCAATCCTGCTTTATTCCTATAGGTGCAGGCTTCCACTTCAAGTGCTTCCCTTCATTGTTGCTCTGCATCAAGCAAAAATTACTATTTAAACATTGAAGAAGTTATATGGGCAAGAAAATAGATAGCTTCAGACTGGACATTAAGAAGTTCTATGGGCAAGAAAATCTGCATCGTTCCACATAGACAATAACAAAAATGCTTGATTGCAGATTCTATTTTCCTAAAAGGAGAGGAAACAAGATAGAAACCTCTCCCATAACCACAAGCTACCCTAGCTTGACCCAATCCACGCCATGAGCCATCAATCATTTAATTCAACCAGAAATGGAACAATTCCGCCTCTCCATATGCTCAACCCATACTTTCTCAGCAATCAAACAGGAAAATCACTTCTCGCTGGGATAAAAAAAAATTCAGAATGTACTTTCAACTTCACCATCCAAACCTACATTTCGCCGGAATCCAAAAAGGAACAAACGAAAATCGGAAGTTCATCTCCCTTTCTGACCTTAGACTCGCTTTCGTTCCTCGGAGACTGCTTATCCGGCTGCTCACTCCGTTCTTCCCTCGGCGATTGCTTGTTGTCAGCATCTACTCCGACGGAAACGGCGACAAAATGAAATTCAACAATCAGAAAGATCATCCGAAACAAGAACGCGCAGACGATCAGGATACAAATGAAGAACATAAAAGGAGGAAACAAAAAAAGTCAAGGAGGAGGAGAAAATTTGAGAGCGCGACTGAAAATAGCAAAACGAAAAAAAGGATGGCTGGAGAAATAAGAGGGCGGAAAATTAGGAGCGCCGAGAAAGAAAGGGGAGGGAGAGGGAAGAAGAGAATCTGAGAGAGAACCTGATCGGTCGGATTTCAAATCGGTGAGGACGCGCTCGGCTCGAGCTGCAGCAGAATGGAAGGCTGTCCGTGCTTTGGACACAAACGAAGGAGACTCCATTAGCAGATATCGGCAGAGCTGCTCCTTCTCCTTCGGCCTGCCGCGGCGGCGGGGGTGGCGAGATCAGTGGAAGGGAGAGTTGGTGAGGGGCGAGAATGGAGGCATTAGATTAGTTTAGTGAGGACGGAAAGAGAGAGGGAGAGACGGCAGAGCGACAGAGGGAAAGAGTGTTGAGAATTGTGGAAATGGGAGGATGCTCATGCTTGTTGTTTTCAGAAAATTTTGAATTCTTTTTCTTTTTCTCTATTTTCTTCAATAACCAAAATAGGGGGGAGAAAAAAAATTATAGCTTCATTTTTATTTTGTTTGAAAAATAAAATTAGCATGACAAAACAATCAGTAGCTTCTGAAAGTTTAATATTTCTCCATTAAAAAAATTCAAAAAAGAAGATTTATTATTTCTCTTTTAAAACCTTTTGTTATAATGTGGGGGGAAAGGTCGAGAAGGGCGCGTGAGAGGCACGTGCCGCGCTCAGATGTTCCCTCTCACTCGCTGGACACCGCGAGAAGTCCGCACCTTCCCAACAAGATTGGTGGTAGACCGGCCTGCGGATCCCGCGCAGCTGAACCCGCGGAATGAACGCCGGTGGGCCTGCTTAAATGTTCTGACTACCTTGTCTTGTCACCGGGATTCACCCACTAAACCAAAATAGGCTATAAATACCACATTTACTACACTTAGAAGGGGACTTTTCCTCTCTCTCTAGCTCTCTCTTTCTCTCTGGAAACCTCCCTGTATGCTCTCTATTGGGGAACTCTTCTTTGTTATTTACTTGGAAGAGATCAGTCATTGAATAGCGAATAATCCATTCCCTTATCAAATCAACGTTTACTCCCTGAATCAAAGTGTAAGCCTCCTACACTCAGCCTTGCACAAACAATTGGCGCCCACCGTGGGGCATGATGAAAGATTCGATGGGGAAGGAACAACATACCACACCCGCGAACTCTTCGGTAGAGAAGACAACCCCGCTCAAAGCCACAGTTAGCCAAAGCCTCTTCAAAGCACCCACAAATCCGGATGCAATGAGACTCTTACACTCAAGCGACAACCCCGACGCCATGCTGGTTGAGGAAGAAGAAGTGGAGTTGTCATTAAAGGACATGCGCCAACAGATAGAGAGGCAAAACAGAGTCATCGCCAACATGCAAGGAAAAATGAGCCAAGTAATCGCGATCCTGAGCGCCCAACCAAGCACTTCCCCTCCCGACGTAAACCCAACCGCAGTCCGAATCGCAAGTCTGAAGTCAAAACTCACGCCTCATAACGCCCTCGCAGCTAGGGAAGGGCGCCAGGATCTCGAATACCTCGAGCAACACCTCTCACCCGCCTACAGGGCTCCCCACAAAACTATTCTCCATCAACCCCTCTGTACAACGATTATGGCGGAAGAAATGGCGGGAAACCCTCTGACGCTGCCGACTTATAACGGGACAATAGACCCGAAAGACCACGTCACACTGCCTTCTGCCTGCGCATGCAGCTCTAAACGTGTTCCAACGCAGTTTTGTGCCGCACATTTCCATCCACCTTCACATGCATTTGCCTTGACTGGTACAACCGCCTACCGAACGGAATCATTCAGACATTCGAAGAGTTCATCTGCCTATTCACCACCAAGTTAGTTTCCCAAAAACGGAGGCCACTACATACGGTGACGCTCGTAGATGTACGACAAAAAGAAAACGGAAGGTTAAGAGCATTCTATTCGAGGTGGTCTCGCATCGTCATGGCAGTCCATGATCTGAACCCCGAAAACACTGCACGCCACCTTATGGATTCCACAAACAACTCCGAGCTGAGGTGTTCGTTGGCCAAATGCCCTGTGTTGTCGTCCTTAGAGTTGGAGGCCAAGGTGGAAAAGGTGATCATCCTAGAAGAAACTTTTTGGGCAGGTTTGGTCTGCCGATTCGAACCAAAGAATGCAAGAGATGAGCAACCATTTCGCCACCCACCAGTCCCATTGACCCATTACAACAACGGATTCGGGAAACCACACATGGTAACCGCGGCCGAACCTCAGAGGAAGCACTCTCCAGAGCGGAACAGAAACTACATAAATTTCACACCGATGAATGACACAGCGAGGAATATTTTCCACACGATCAGAGAAAAGGGGTACCGTATAACTGGCCAAGTCCCCAATGGCAGCCGGAGAACTGACGCGACCACTGCAAGTACTGTGACTTTCACCGCGAGACTGGTCACCTCACAGAACATTGTTTCAATCTCAAAGCTGAAATTAAGGCACTCATCGAGCGGGAGCACCTTGCAGAATAGATGCAGACAAGTGATCATGTGCCGCCACAGAAACTGCCACTTCCCCTAGAAACGGGGTGCAATGAAGAAATCAACGACTTGGTAATACAAAAGGAAATTGGAGTAGTATCAGCCTAAAGAACCAGAGCGCACCAAAAAAAAAAACCAAAAAGAGAAAGGGTGCTCGAGTGCGCGGCAACAAAAACAACGCCATCGTTACCGCTCTACTTTGGCGATGACGAATACCGAGAGGGAGGCCCATCCGAAGATCCGCTGCTCATCACCGCCTTAGTTGCTGCATGCAAGGTGCACAGTTTGCTCATAGACGGAGGCAACGCATTGGATATCCTATTCAATAAACCATCGATCTGATGGATATAGACAACAGATGATTCGCCAGGCGGAAGGAAATCTAGTGGTCTTCTCGGGATTGCGATTGCCAGTCATCGGCTCTATCACTCTCCTTGTGGTGTTGGGCGATCAAACTCCCCGAGCAACGGAAAAAATTGAATTCAACATCATAGACTGCAAATCGCCACACAACGCGATTTTGGGGCGTCCATTTCTCGCAAAGTTCAGGGCGTTACCATCCACATGCCACCAACTCATAAAATTCCCAACTTCAAAGGGGGCGGGCTTTGCGAGAGGCGAACACAAAGAGACCACAACGTAGAGAAGGACAAACATCATGGACACACTAGTTGAAGAGGATCCGCGGCCAATCCCTGCAGATTCAAACATCAAGATACCACTAGACCCCACCCAACCTGACCGACAGGTCCGCTTGTCGACACTCATCCCTGATGATATGATGCAGCCGCTCGTATAACTGCTAGTGGAGTACAAAGAGCCCTTTGTTTGGTGTACACAAGACATGCCCAGGGTTCAAAGGGAAACTGCGGAACATCACCTAGCAATACCAAGAAACGCGGAACCAATACAACAGGGTCGATAGACTTTCAAGGGAGAAAAGTTGAAGGCTATCAAAGAAGAGGTAGCGCGTATGTTAGAAGCGAGCCTGATCATACCAATCCAGTACCCTAAATGGCTCTCCAATGTGGTCTTAGTGAAGAAGGCGTCGAATGACTTGGCGCATGTGCATTGACTACACGACGCTCAACAAAGTCTGCCCGATTGATCCGTATCCACTCCCACAGATTGATCTGCTGGTGGATGCAACGTCCAATCACGACATGCTCTCATTCTTGGACATGTTCTCTAGGTACCACCAAATACCCATGAGCCGTGAAAACCAGGAGAAAACTGCTTTATGACCCCGTTTGGGAACTTCTGTTTCGTCGGGATGCCCTTGGTCTGAAAAATGCAGGAGTCACCTATCAATGCCTTATCAACACGGTCTTCGAGAAGCATATAGGTCGTAATGTCAAGGCATACTTCGATGATATCATCAGCAAGTCCAAACGCGGAGAATCCCATCTGGACGACTTACACGAAACCTTCGCCACCCTCCGCGCTCACAACTTACGCCTTAACCCGCTCAAGTGCGTGTTCGGAGCAGAATCAGGAAAAATCCTTGGCCACATGATCACTAAACGAGGGATTGAAGTCGATCCTAAACAAATGGATGCCATCCGCCAGCTAAAGGCTCCCCGTAGCGCGCAAGAAGTACAATCATTGGCGGAAAAACTAACCGTGCGTGGAAGGTTCATACCTCGCTCCGCTGATCTCTGCGCATCGTTCTTCCAGACTATGAATTCGGGGACAAAGTTCAAATGGGACGCCGCGTGTGAAAAAGCTTCTGAAGAACTCAAAATGTATCTTGTATCCCCGCCTGTGTTGGTTTCCCCAGAGGCGAAAGAAATGCTCTAGCTTTACCTCGCGGTGTCAGTTAGAGCGGTAAGCGCGGTATTAGTTTCCAGATCGAAAGGCACCGACGAAAGGGTAGTATATTATACGTCACGCAGATTGACATGAACAGAAGCGCGATACTCACACATCGAAAAGGCGGCTCTCGCATTGGTATCCGCATCTCAAAATCTGCGACCATACTTCCATACTCATCTAGTCACAATGCTTACCAACCTGCCCCTTAAAAAATCCTTAACTCCATGGAAGTCTCGAGAGGCTGGTGCAATGGGCGTTAGAGCTCTCCGAATGCGACATCTAATACGCATCGCGACCAGAAGTAAAGAGACAAGTCTTAGGCGGATTTCATAGAGGAAAGGGTGGTCATCAAAACCCCACCGGAAGGAACGTGGGAAGTCCAGATGGATGGAGCCGTAAACAATCATGGAGCGGGAGCAAGGGTATTGATTCGCACCCCATTAGGCGTATACATGAAATAGCTATACACTTTCGAGCGCTGAAAACAAACAACGCGACAGAGTACGAAGCCGTGCTGGTAGGACTACGTGCCGCCAATGACCTGGGAGCAAGGACAATAAGGGTGTTATCGTATTCCACTCTGGTAGTCAGTAAACTCAATGGCGTCTTCTTAGCAAAGGAGGAGGGTCTTGCACAGTACAGACCAAGGATAAAAGGGGAGGCCGTAAATTCTCATTCCATCACTTATGTCCATGTTCCACGAGAGGAAAATGTTCACGCTGACTCCCTGTCCAAGCTGGCCATAGCCACGGATTTTGAGGAGACCCGAATGGTTTCAGTGCAGAATGAGGGATACCTTTAAAACACTGAAGCCCCAACAGTCAATACCACCCAAAACGCCGATGAAGAGTGGCGCAACCCCATACTCGAATATCACACCACGACCAAAGTCCCAGAGGATCCAAAAGAAGCTTGGGCGCTTTGGCAAAAGGTGGCTCGATGCACAATAATTGGCCAAGAGCTATATAGGCAATCACATGTCGATCCATGAAGGAATATGTGCTATGCACCACGGAGCGAGAAGCTTAAAAAGATCCATCTT